GCGCCCTGCAACACACACGCGTGGAATCGTTCCCAGTACCATGGCCCAGCAAGTCTTCCATCCCTCCGGGGTCGGCAAATTGGAACCAGACTTGTCTGGAAGGATAGCACCACTGGCTCGATACATCGTTAGGCCACCGCTAGTCATTGTAAAGGCTAGATATGCATTCCCCCTCAGATATTTTCAGATATGCACCTCCAAACGATGCTTGATGAAGTCGAATGCATGGCGCATTCCTCAGGACCCTCAGGATCAACGCCAAGAGCTTTATCTTTTACCTCAGCAAATGTGTTGAATTAGCTGTGAATGACGTGAAATTATTACCTTTTGCTCGTGTCATATACCAAGACCAAACCTCTGGAAACCTTCCGCTCCTGGGTAGGGTACCAGGGGTTTATGTGTTTACTCAACAAAAGAGTGAATTATTGATTCGCTGCCGACGTTAAAGGAAAGTCACCCATGTGACCTACTCGATGCTCTCGTTGGCCACTGCAAGTCATTGTATAGGCCAGATATGCATTCAGTCACTTATGCACACCTTATGAAGTGAAGTGGATGTCCCGTCCCTCAGGGCTTGGTCCAATAGAAAAGTTTTATTTTAATACAAATTACCCATACGAATACGAGTTATATTATTTTAATAATATTTGCACAAAAACCTCTAACAGCAACTGTCCGACACTACAATCAAGATGAAGTCCATGACCAGATTTCTATTGGTAGATGTTCGCGTAGATTCATGAGCTGTTCACTCATGTCTGAAAGAGAATTCGTCACATAACGATCACTAATTAAAGACACAAATATGATAAATATGTAGAGGGTGGAACTACGTAGTAAGCAAAATACGTACTTCCTGTACGACTCAAAACGCCGTCCTCACCACACAGGAAATTTTATTCCACTCTTTCACTAGAATGCCATCATTATGGCTACTCACCAAGGACGTCCATCACAAAATGAAACCACATGCTCTCTTCAAAAGCTTTCCGGAATATTAGCTCATTCACATAAATCTTATTGGCTTTTTCCCTTTAAATATTATTCCTGTGCGTGTGCTAAAGTGCCCAGAAGTGCCACGTAACCCACTGTAATCCCACTATATCACAGATAGGAAAAATGGTAGAAGAATTGTTCGATAAAATGGAAACATCCACATGACACATTGCCAGCACCAAAGTTAAGTTCTCAACTTTACGAAATTACGCCATTGTGTCTATAACGTTTAGTATCAAAATCAGAGCGTATACTTCTATCGGCAAAAATAACGCACCTTTCTTCGAATTCCAGAAGCAGAAATCATCATGAATTTCAGAATAGTCTCCTTCCTGTGGAAGTATTTTCTCCGCATCCTCAGTAAACGCCTGGAAAGAGAAATGGCGCTCGCTAGCTATTATAAATTTTGACCCTCAGAATTAAACCATGTTTTGAGTTTCAAACCAGTCACCGTCTACCCTTAACGATTTAATGAGAACCGTCTTTCGTACGACTTGTTCGCCCTACGAGACTGTTGCTGATGAGGAGACTATTAAGACATTTGCACGCAGATAAGCAGAGTGCACTCCCAGTGTGACTGGAAACAGTGTACCTTCGGAAAGATCACAGAAGATCAAATATGAAAATAGAAGTCATAAAAATTGTTAGATATGTTGAGAAACTGACTACCGAATGCTGAGAACATGTCACTCGATGGTAGACGGGAGATTCTCCGCTACATATAGACACTTGACACTTGAACAGCCCGTCCTCACTGGTTGTGCGAGCCCCAACATAATCACTATTTATCAGAGATGCGCTGATTAAGCCATTGTGGTTCCCTGGGATCCCAAGGTCAGCCTGGCCAAAGTCTGCTCCAGGTCTTCACCACCATGGCCGGTCGTACCCCTTGTGGATAAGAGGGAGATTTACCACAATGCGACCAGTTTGATACCAGGACATGCGGGATCCTGGTATTGGTCTACTATTAGCTAGGCTTCCTGATCGAAACGCCAGACTACTTCTCAGCTTAGGAGACCCTGCCGAGGGGACGAATCCCCCGCTGTACCTCGCAGTCCGACAACCAAGAACACCTCCCAGCCACGATGAGGCGGCAAAATGTTGGGAGGTTACCTACTTGGATACATGGACTGTCCGTTTTCACGAGCTGTGCGGACTCCAGCACCTATGCCATTCGTTCCCTTCTTTCGCAATCGTAGCCCATGGTGGTGGTCTTGTTCGAGCATGGTAGCGCTTGCGAATCTCATACCATATCTGTAAAGCAACCGCAGCTGCGGGTACAGCTGACTAACTTTGTTTACGAACAAGTCCGCCCAACGTGTAGGTGTCTAGTCCAACGAGACGTTTGCGTTCTCTTAAAGTCCACTCTACTGTTCATTTTGTCCATCTGTCGTCTGTTCTTCTCATTATGTGAACGGCCCATCTATTTCTCGATGTCGATGTATATTCTCCTGGATCTCGAAGATGTGACAGATTTCGAAGGTCAGAGCTACGCATTCCGGCTACATATTGAGAGTTATTTCGGTTATATTTCGGAAAACATCGCTCAAGCGCTCTGCGGTAGCGCACAGAATTCTTAACGCGGTTGAAGTATAACCTCTCGCCTCTAATGCACAAAAGAGCGCCGGGGAACTGTAAAATCGAAAAGGTGAAAACGGAGTTTTGGCTCCATTACTTGGTCGGTGGCTTCTTTGAGGGGTCCGAATGAAGCCCAAGCTGCCCTCCTTCCTTCCTCCTGTCTAGTTCCTCCTTCGTGTTGTTTTCCATATTCATTGATCGCTCAGGGTAAACCTACGAGGTGGCCGCTGTAATGAGAGAGCCTTCCAATTCAATTTTTTCGCCTTCGCATTATAGGTTTTTATAAACTGAGTTTTCTTTCGATTTATGCGAAGTCCGGTCCTTTTCACTACTTCGCTGAGCTGGTTGATCATCACCTCTGCTTCCCTAGTACTTCTTGAGAAGATGACAATGTCGCTTGCAAGACGAAGGTTTGATAGGAATTTTCCATCAATACGTATGCCTTTTTCATCTTCATTATCCACTGCGGTGCGGCACTGAACAGCTTTGGTGATATTGTGTCGCCCTATCGAACCCCTTTTCATATGGGTATTGTAAGAGGTCGAGGAAAAAGCTGTATTTCGTAGTGCAGTTCCGATAATGGTCGGACAGATTTCTTTTGTAGGACGGGTCCATTCCTCGGTCGACGAGCGCTGATAGGATGGCATTCATCTCGACACTGTCAAACGCTTTTTCATAGTCGACAAAGGTTAGGACTAGCGGGAAGTGGTATTCCCAACAAACTTCGATGACCCTGAACACGGCTTGGATGTGGTCCATACAACAAAATCCTTTTCGAAATCCTGCTTGCTCGACTGGTTGCGCCTCATCCAATGTACTTGATATGCGCGATAGGATAATCTCCGTGAAGAGCTTGTACAGTACGCTCAACAAGCATATGGGACGATAGTTACAAAGATCCCTTCGGTCTCCTTTCTTGGGCAGGATGACCGTGCGGGCGTCCTGCACTGGTCTGGGATTTTTTCCTTTTGAAAATGGGCTGTCATATGATTTGCGAGAAGTACATGTAAAATGTGGCTTCCAGCTCTAAGGAAGCTGGCGGTAATATTATCAGGCCCTGGAGCTGTACCTCTTTTCATGCCTTCTATCGCAACTCGAACCTCCGACGAAAGAATTCCAGGTGGTTTTTCTCCAGCGGGGATATTAAGGTCCGCGACAAGGATTACGGAACGGAAAAGGTTGGTGTAGAACGTTTCCGCCATTAATTCCATATCATGGCGGGAAGTTTTGACGATCCCATCGTCAATGATGCTGAGATATTTGCAAAACTCCGGACCACAGGTGTCTGCGGTGGAGAACGAACGCGCTATTGTCCTTTCCGGGGAGTAACGCGTTCGCCACTACCCCATGCAGGTCCTTCGTTTCGCCTGTTTCTCAACTAGTTCTATTGATCTTTTGCTATCAGCAATCACCCGCCATCGGGATGGAACTGGAGAGCCGAAATCGGCAAAGAACCTAGTAAAGCTGAGGCTGCAGTTATAATCACAATTTTAACTTATTATTTACTGCCTACTCTTTTTAAAGGCAGGGTATATATTGCGAAAAATAACTTCAATGATGAGGAGATATCTTAACCCTTTTATTTGCTGCCTTTTTCTTTTTAATGGCAGGGTATGTTGCGAAATATAACTCATATATAATGCCGAGATATTTGTAAAACTCCGGACCGCAGGTGTATGCGGTGGGGAACGAACGCGCGCTATTGTCCTTACCCGCTAGTAGCGCACTTCACCACTACACCATCCGGGTCCTTCGATTTGCCTGTCTCTCAGCTAGTTCTATTGATCTTTTGCCATCAGCAATCACCCGTCAACGGGATTGATCTGGAGAGCCCAAATCGGCATTGAATCCAGTTAAGCTGAGGCTTAGTTATAATCACAATCTGAACTCTTTTATTCACTGCCTTTTTCTTTTTTTTCTCATTAAAATAATAATCATATTAAAACATTAAAATATTATATACGGGATGATGAGATATTTCCAAAACTCTGGTCCGCGCCCAGGTCATTCCCGCTGACGGGTAATTTCTCATGGCAAAAGATCAATAGAACTAGCCTGAGAGACAGGCGAAACGAAGGACCCGCGTGGTGTGGTGGTGAATGCGTTACTCCCCGGAAAGGTCAATAGCGCGTTCGTTCCCCACCGCAGACACTTGCGGTTCGGAGTTTTGCAAATATCTCAGCATCATTAAAGTTATATTTCGAAATGAATACCCTACCGTTAAAAAGAGTAGGCAGCAAATAATAAGTTAAAATTGTGATCCCGTCTTCGTCCATCAGGGCTGACAGGGGAACATTGTAATCACACAAGTCCCGACGGCATTTTTTCAGACTGCTTCTTTTCTATGCTGATTCCAGTAGTTTCTTCTGCTTGTACCGCTGTAGATCTCCCTGCAAAGCTCCTCTGCAGCTGGCGTTTATTACTAGCTATGTTAAACGTGTTGCAGTAGGACGAAGCTTCAATTTCCTTCTCTTTTCGAGCAACTCCTTAGTAGTGATGGAGATGCGATCCGATCTCCTTGCTTGAGGAACTGAGGCGAATTCGGCACAGCTTTTCAGTCCTTCGTCAAGCATCTCGTAGTCTTCGGTCTGGTCTTCTTTAATCTGCCAGTCACGTTTGGATAGGAATTCGTTCAGAATGTCCTCGTTGTATACAGCTTTTTCCTCGTGGTCGATGAAGAGTTCTTTTCCAGCTTGAATCGAATCTTCGCGAAGAAGGCGGTGTTCGGAACCAGTACAGAATGACGGGACCACCGATGTGTCAAGTAGACACCATCTTCTGTTTGTAAGAATATGGTCGATCTCCGCATGAGTCATGCCGTTAAGAGACTCCCATGTCCAACGGCGGCTTTCTTTCTTCTGGAAAAACGAGTTTCCATGGAAGGGGCATGCTGCTGACAGGAGTCCTGCGAGACGGTTCCCATTCTCACTTCTTTCTCCTAATCCAAAATTTCCGATCCTGTATTCGCTCTTATTGTGGATGGCTTCCTCCAACTGATAGTGGAACGCATTTAATTCGTACTCATCAGCTGCGTCGGTTAGTGAGTAGCAGTTGATGATAGTGATCTTCTTGTGACGCCACAGTTGAAGACGGAGGACGGCAATGCGAGAGGAAAGGATGACGTATAAGTCGACGAGATGGACAACAAGGCCTACACCGCCAACGCTTCGTGACTGGACCTTTTCTCCACGAATCACAACGGTTCCGTTGTTTAGTTGGAATATGTCGGTCTTCTTGATTTTTGCTTCTTGTAATGCGACCACATGAAATTTAATGCGGTCTGCGGCTACAAGAAGGCGTGAAGATCGGCTTCTGTGGAGAGTGTTCTGGCATTGTACGTGCATAGTAAGAAACAATTTCCAGGCGTGTCGTGCGTGTGTTCGTCAGATTCGGTTCCAATGACGTCCTGCGTAACCCGAGATTTTCTGGCCTCTCACCGGTCGTCTCACCGCCTGACATCATTAACGGGAGCACCCAGTGTGGCGGGTACTGAGGCTGGCCTATTGCTTGTCGTGCAACTGGGTCCTCCCTGGAGTGCTGACTTAACCTTGCAAGGGGGTTTCCAGGTCTTCAGCGCAATGTGGATCAGAGGGAGGTGTGTTTTCGGCGACGGATCCTTCGCTCGGTCTTCCTACTAGTTGATTCGGAGAAAATCAGAAACGGAAGTAGGAATGAGAAAGTAACCGACAGCTCAAGGACGATGTGGAAGTCGACCTCGGTGAACAGCTTGTAGAGTACACTCAAGAAGCATATGGGATGATAGTTACTTCCAGCTCTAAGGGGTTACGGGAAGTTACACATAGAAATAAGAACTATTCCAAAAAAACCACTGTCATCAATATTTTTGCTCAACCTCGCCTTAGCTAAAAATCCGCGAAGATATTATCTTCAATAGCACATGGAGGAACTATGTTTGGGGCACAAGGAACCGTGTGCACTGGACTCAATGCACATATTGGACAGCAAAAATTTAGGTATACGCGTAGAATGGTTATGTCATAAATCATCATGATATGCCTAATGTGCATGTAAAGAATAACCTGAACATGACTACAATCAAGTTGAGCAATCCGTCCAAATTACTCATCGACTATTGAGCCATCTTTATCCATTTTCCGCATAACAGAAGAGGCTAGCCGTTCCCTACCTGGTATAATACTGCAGACATCCTTAGCAAAAATACGCAGCAGTAAAGAGATGGACTAAGGTCCCAAAATTACAAGGTTCAATAATAAACAAAAGAAACAAGTTTTGGTAGTATATCGTAATACACACTTAAAAACGTTATCAAGTCTCTTCCCCAACAACTAAGCCTAAAGAAGTAACCATTGTCACATAGTGACAGCAAAGCAGTTCTTCTTGTGAACAAGATTAACGGTACAAACTCTTTTTGCTGCCCACGTATCTAGTTTGGTATTTTCGAAAACGAAATGCGATACATAGTTCACGTGAACTCCGTTTTATAACAAGATTCTTTTCTCGTAGTTCATGTTTACAATATCATTACGAACACATAGTAGCAAAAAACTCATTATTGATAGTTTACAATGACTCGCGGTGGCCTACCGATGCATCGAACCAGTGCTACTATCCTTCCAGACGAGTCTGATACCAATTTTCCGACCCCGGAGGAATGGAGAGCTTGGTGAGCCTTGGGTGCGGGGATCTATTCCATGTGTATTGTACGATCTCTCCGACCACTGCGCTACACGAGCCCTAACTACTAGCAGTGGATTTCATATGTGTCAAGGAAGATCTTAGTGTGAGCGTTTAGTCGAAGCGTCATTGTATTATGATATAAACAGCAAATAAGACAAGTTCTAGTTTTATTTCATTCTTTCATTCTTCATTTTTTTGTTTATCAAACGGTAAAGGCGAGGATGACATCTAGTTCTTCAAGAAGACCATGATATGATTAGTAGGCAGAATTGTGGAGTAACTATATGAAGCATTTATCATAGGCAGAATAAACAGCGGTTGTTCATCATGACGGAACTACCAAAGGAAATCAAATCTGACATCAAAAACGGCTGAGAGAAAGGCGAAACGAAGCATTCGCATGACGTGGTGGTGAACACGTTAGCCGCCTGAGAGGGTACTAGCGAGTTCGATCCCCACTGCAGACACCTGCAGTCCGGAGTTTTGCAAATATTTCAGAATCATTGCGGAAATCAAATCGCTTAAGTGGAAAGAGGGGAGCGAACTGTGGTCGACGAAGAGAAACAACTTTAGACACATAGTGGTAACTAGTTGACTGTCTGAATTTCAAAAGATACAACTACCAATCAGCAACAAAGATTTTTCACACCAGCCCACAAAGATAGGTTACTAAACCTACTCATCTCCTCATGTAAACAGTAGCATCAGAATAGATGAAACCTTAGCCCGAAGGTTTTGTTCCTTTCAACTACCCCTAAGGTGAGGAGGATGGCGCAGATCATCTCGTACAATTTTTAACAGTTACAGTGCAAATAAATAAGGGCGCATGTAGCCCGGTGGTCGGAGGAGCGCCACAATACACATGGGATCAATCCCCGCACCTCCGGCTCACCAAATCTTCCATCCCTCCAGAGTCGGCAAACTGCTAGCAGACTTGTATAGAAGGATAATAGCACTGGCCCTGTATAGTGATAGACTATCGCGAGTCATTGTAAAGGCCAGATGTGCATTCAGTCACCTTCAACGGTAGTCAGTGAAATCGAATGCATGGTTCATGCCTGTGGGATTGATCGACGGCGAGAGCTTTATCCTTTTCATTTATAGGGTAAATCTGACAAGTTCCATCTTCACCTATTACACAATTCTATACGATTTCCTCGATGATGAAGTCAACATCTACTCGGATTCCCTTCGGTTTGCTTGTTTTTCTGTAAATTCACGTAGATTTCGGTGCGTACGGTTTTGTTTTGCGAACTCACGTAATCCTGCGGACTTCCTGTTCTGTTCAGATTTCATATAGGAGGAACGCCTTTACGTTGGAATGAAAATTGGAGGGGTAATCACACATCAATCGTTTGCTGAGAGTTACAACTGCACAAATGGAATCCAATGGATAGAACGCGTAAGTCCAAGTTATCTCCTTAATCTTTACCTAAGTTTGTTAAGTGAGTTAAGGTCTTAAGTTTATGTCTTAAGATCTTCTCTGACTGTGTCGACACAGAGTTGAAACTGCTTGGTTTTATAGTAGGGATCATATCTCTTATTTTATGGCTTGTTCCGCTCTTACCGCAATTAATGCAGAATTACAGAACAAAGAAATGTGATGGCCTTTCGCCAATGTTCTTACTGTTTTGGTAAGTTCCTTAACGTGTTAAAGGACTTAACTTCTTTTGCATCGTGATGGCTATCGTTTAGGCTTTCCGGTGATACCTGTAATATGTTGGGAGCGATTCTGACGAATCAGACACCGATCCAAAAAATTATTGGAGTGTATTACATTATTCAAGATCTTGTACTTTGGATGCAGTATGGTTATTACACCAAGATCTATCCTAAACTTGGCAGCCAGCGTAGTGAGTTTTTTTTTGCTATTTTGTGAATGTTTTTAACGTTTATCTTCTTCCTTTCTCTCAATTGGCCCACTTCTCTTTCATTTCAAATTGACCGTCCTTTTCTTAGAATATAAAAATTGAGCCTAAGCCAAGACCCTTGAAAATGTTATGATTTGTTAACTCAGCAAGTAAGTACAGTGTTAAATTTTTATATTTATTTATTAATATTTTTATTTATATTATTTATTTATATTGTATTTTTTATATTTGCATTTTTTTAATTTATATTTTTATTTATATTTTTTATTTTATTTATTTATTTACATTTTCCTTAATAAATTTTTATATTTTATATAGCTCGCACAGCCAGTGAGGAGGGGCCGTCCAAGTATCCGAGTAAGTCGTCGTACTGAGGGATACTGCGATGGGAGATTGTAACCTGTGAGGATGGTACTGAAGTGCTTCTACTTATTTCCATATTTAAGTCTAACACTTATAGACAACTATGGATACAATTCTAACCGCACTATAGAGGCGTGATCCGCATAACCAAAATTAATGTGAAAGCCTTAAATGCTTACAAAGTGAGCGTTAAAGTGTTAGTTATGTACTTTCACTTAGTGCAGGTTTGAAACTATTACTTGCTCCCAAGTCTTATTTTTACAACTTCTCATGAGTATTCTAGACCTGAATACCAAGATAGTATAGTAACTACCTCGTATTTGCCCATCGGAAAAACAGTGACTTATTAATATTTGAAACGGTTTATTTTTGCATACAGTTTTTACAATTTGCCAATTTGCTCCTTTGCGTTTCCAACTTGTGCCTAAACTATGAACAGTAAGAAGTGCAAGTATTTTGATGGTTTTCTCGATGTGTAGAGAATAAACCAACATCTGATTACTTTGGTACAGATTGAGTCCCCTCGATTGTAGCTTTTCAATATTGGAGATATTGTTGAGTTAGCAATGAGGCGCCCGTTGTGCAAGATGGGTAGCATAACAATTCCCTTTTATCTTCTTACTTCGACAGCGTTTCTTTAGTTTTATTCCCTTGTGTCTTCACCGACCACCCGCTCAACTGAGTGCGGTTAATCTTCTTTGGGACTCTGTTTCTTTTCTCTACCTAGAAAATGCTTGCGCCATCGGTATATTAATTTTGTTTCACGGCCCATCATACATACTATGCTAGTAGCAGCACTTCGTTTGTTCGATTCATTTCCTCGCAACAGTCATCTACGAAGGTCTTCAACATTTGCGTATGGGTTAGGCTGCAGCTTGAGGATTTTGGTTTCGTCGCTAAGTCATTTAATGCTGGTTAAGCTGATCATTCCTGGAATCCTGAGATAACCGGGCTAGAACATTGTCACTTGGATTGCAGGCAGTGAACTTTTTCCAACCAAATCTGATGCCAATATAGCGAACACTCGGGGGTCGCGATACTTGAGGCCCAAGTGAGGTCGAACTAGCACCATGGTGGTGATGAATGATATCACTACCATTGTACTACCGATCCCAATCTCAGTATTATAGTAGGGAGTTATTGCTTGTTTTTTCACTTGCAGTGGTTATAGTGAATCATCGTCATCGTATTCATGTTATAAGGGTAAATAAAAAGTATTCAAGAAGATGCCTAACTTTTGTGAAGAGTGCATGCGATCTAGAATTATCTAGGGCGCTATCTTCTTATAGACCTGTTCATCCCCATTTCTTCCCGGTCATCATCTTTGCCCTCGCCTTCAGATTTACTTCCTAACCTTATGCTCTAAAGTTGAAACGTGAAAGATCCCATCTGTTCACTCTCGATAGGCAGTCGGCCAAGGCTAAATTTAGTTCCCATTTTGCTGACGTAATTTAGATTTATAAAATTTGATTTTTGAGCTAGAATCGACCTTTTAACTTTACAGTGGTTATGATGACATAGTTATAGACGAATATGAGAAGATTTAAACTATGTAGTAGTGCCGAAGTATGCTCAGCATATGTTCCCAAACCGTCTACAAAGGTTGCAACCCAGTTCCATCTTGTGCTCGTTTTTCGTTTCCTTTTAACGCACAGTGCACACAAGAGTTAGGAATAAAGTCAGAAAAAGACGTGAAAAGATAAGTGAAGAAACATGGAGGATGCATAGAACATAGGCCACAGAAACGACTGAAAAAGGAAATGTGAAACCGAAATATGGGGCCAAAACAGCAACAGCAAGGCGCGTTCCGTTTGACGAAATAAAAGTCTGACGAGATGAGTCGTATACGACTCAATGTGCAAACAAGGGTGAAAAATTAGGCATGCTCTCGTGCTACAGCTCCAAAAAATTTTACATCGTGATATATGTTCTTCCACATATAAACATGTAGTGCTTTAGCCTGAATAGTATCCTAATTTCTTTGCTTTGCCTTCCTTCGTTTTACGCATTGGTTCATGCGTCCACTTAAATAGACCGTTCTCTGATATCAGACTTAATTCTGCGTTACCATCATGTTTGTTTCTAATGGTCTCATTATGAAACCAGTATTTTTTTTGCTGTTTATTCTGAAATTTTGGTTACAAGGTTTTTACCTAGCAAATATAATGAGGTATAATCCAGTCGGTGAAGCTGTTGTAAATTTCGTAGTTGAAACTTGTGTTTCTTAAGAATGAGTGAAAACTCTTTGTCTTCATTAAGAGGAACGTAATGAAAAGTTTAAGCATGCGTAAAGTGAAATTGTTTTTTATTAAAAGCAATAGGATTCTATTGTTTATGAGTTTCACTTATACGGTCACTAGATATACGAACGTACCATTACGCACCTGTGTTTTGCAAATACCTCCATCACTAGGGTGATACCAATAATAATATCCACTCAGAAAAAAACTAGCTGAGAGACAGGTGAAGCGAAGAATCCGCATAGTGTGGTGTGGTGAATGCGTTAGCCCTCGGGAAGCGTAATGGCCCGTTCGTTCTCCACCGCAGACACCTGCCGTCCCGAGTTTTGCGAGCATTTCAGCACCGTTACGGTTGTATTTCACGTAATATCCTACCGTAAAAAATTATAGTAGGCACCAAATAAAAAGCTGATATCTATTCATTTTTACTACTTTGGAGTACCTGTTGCTTTTCTTTAATAGAGTACTTGTTATGAACATATTTTTATACAGAATCGATTTTAATGGTTTTCAAGGTTCAACAATTGTTGTACCTTGTCTGGCGTTGGCTTCTTTGGGATCTCTATGTCTACCTTCTGATAAGGCATTATTCTCTCACTCCATGAGTTCAGTTTTTGAATTTAACAGAAAGTAAGTAATACACATTTACTTATTCTTAGTCCCACCGAGTTTCTATATTTCGATGTTTGTTTTCACAGGAAACGACTATCTCTTGAATCGGCTTTACAAATGTGGCCCATATTCGAGAGTTATACTGATATGGTATGTCTGCTTTAAACTCGACTGGGAATAGTATGCATATCGATTTAGCTTATTTCTCATTTCATGGCGGATATATCATTGGATCAGTGGCAGCGTTGTGTTACTTTGGAGGCCGAATCCCACAGATAATCTTGAATTACCGGCGAAAGAGTTGTGATGGACTGTCACTGTTAATGTTCTATATTATTGTTGCTGCAAACTCTACATATGGGTTGTCTGTTCTGCTGGCGACAATTGATTGGTTATTTTTTTTGAGGTAGCCTTAATAGTTTACTTCTCGTTAATTGTTGGTGTGAGATCTCGGATGACTTTTATATCATTTCAATTTTTACTACATATGGTTCTTACGGTTTGTTTAGGTTGGAAGGGGGGGGGGGGTTGAAACTTACTTGCATACTTGAATGGCCCATCCTTACCGATTGTGCAGGACCCATCATAACTTATAATGAAAGTAGCTTACCTGGATATTTGGATAGCACATCCTCACTTATTGTGCGGGACCCAGCATAACTTCCATTTTTTTGTAGTTTTGCTGGTCTAGCTTTTGTGGTGCCCTGTAAGGTCAGCCTACCAAAGTCTGCCCAACGTCGTCACCACCACGGATAGTCTCCGCACTTTTCTAGGCTTTAGTTGGTAGTTCTAGGCTTTGGGGCCGCCATATATCTGTTAATCTCACATTGCTTTCGTTTTTTTTTTTCTTCAACAAGAAAGGGTTGACAGTTATCGCGAAATACAAGGATTAAAAGCTTACTTACTTGGTACTTAAACAGCCTGAGGACAGCCTGGCCAAAGTCTGCCCCAGGTCGTCACCACGTCAGGCAGTCGCAGACCTTGTGGATCTGAGGGAGATTTGCCACCATGCGATTTTGATACCAGGACGGTGGTGTGTCCTGGTATTGGTTTACTCTTAGCTGGGCCTGCTGATGGAAACGCCGAACTCCTGAGCTTGGAAGCTCTGCTGGAGGATGAATCCCTCAGCTCTACATCGCAGCCCTACACCCAGGAACGTCTTCCTGCCATTTAAGTCGTTGTGAGGAGCATGATTATACACAATTCACTATTACGTTTTCTACAGTCTATGTTTGATAGCACCCGTTGGAGTTTCTTCTTAATGGTTGGAATCTGATCCAATATTTTTAGACATCTCCCGTGGTTAGCGGGAAGTCTGGGATGTGTTTTGTTCGACGTCGTAGTTATTTCTCAGTACTATTATTATCGTAGCAGAAAGGAGGAAGGATCTGATGATACTGAAAGCGAGAACCTTCTAAGAAATGAAAATTATAGCGACGAATAACGCGAACCAATAATCCTCCTGCTAGGTGAGGAAAGATGTTAGTGGCATGTGGATGCCGACATAACTGATATAACTAAAAGTAAACGTGCTAGGCACACACTTTGTGAATCCTTATCCTTATATTCTTTCTCTGTTCTGTGATGGTTTTCACTATTTCTGTGTAATACTGAGTATTCAGAGGCCTCGGATCTGCTCATTGTGTATAGTAGTAACCGTATGAGATATTTATCGCTGACCCCCGAATAATCCTAACAATATCCTGTTATTTATTTCTTGCAGTAACTTTGAAATATGTAAAATGTTTCATTCTTCATCTTGTACTACTATTTGCTTGTCTAATTCTAAAGTTCTTCAATGATTGTAGGAAGGATGCAATCATGATACTCTAAGCTTTACTTGATAAAGTTACTGTTATTTTCTAACGCAAAGTTGAAAACTGTATAAAGAAGTAATGCAACGGATAACATAGCTAAGTAGCGTAGCTCATCCATCCGAAACTCTAGTTATCAGTTATGGGAATGCGAAGGGAAGAGTTGCTGTATATTTTGCGCTAGAAATATCAGCTATTGTAGAGGTTTTGCAGTGGGAGCTGCAACTAGCAGTAAGCAAGATTTTGTGCCCAAGTGCTTTTTCGAAAGGAGGAAGTCTATCTGACATAAATAACGACATTCTTATGAACAATGTTTGTTGCGTCGTACTACTTCTTTGTCCAACGTTTTCACTCACAAGTTCTCACCTCACATATGTTCCGCGAATTTCAGTGGAGATCCGACGAGGTTAGTGAGGTACTGGCCGTTAGATGTGGCTATATTATAGCAGTAACCTGAATAAATGTTATTTGTCCATCTTATCTAATGATCAATTCAATCACTAATTTCAGTAGACGAGTTCTGGGAAACGAAAACGTTTGCTCTGTGAAACGTTTGGGAGCTTCACCTTGATTCAGTCATCGAGTTAAAGGTCATCGACAGTTGTATAGGATCCATATTTTGTGATACTTGGGGATACCGTTGAGAAATTTGTCGTTTTTGTTGTGTGAACAATACGAGATAGACTTCTAATGGCGGTCTGCCGTCCATTCAATCCAACCAGGACTTATTTATCGGAATTTACGATCCTTCCAACGTCTTCTGAATACCGAACGTTTGTTGAGTCCTGTATATTGAGTTTTTCCACAACTGTTCAAGTAATTTGTGGAGGGATGGTTTCGATTATTAGTTTTAGATTCTGAAACTGAAACCAGAAAAGAAATCGATATGTTTGGCGATTACTTACGACACAGCTCCCATAAGGGAATTTATTTCTCAGTTGGGAAGAAAATCCTTGCTATGTATAAGAATCACCTGAAAAGATGACATACACGGAATTAACTACACAAGCAAAAGAAGCAGCATTTTGGTTCTTCACTACGTGGTTAGGGTGATACCATATCTCTGATTGTCTTTATCGCATGCAGGAACTTACAGCAAGTTCTGCGCAGTCGAGTCGAGACCACAATGAACAATGTTCTTCGATTAGATCCTTCTTCAGAAAGCCCGATTTCGGGATCATTTACTTTCCTAATGTGCGCTTTTTACAACCTGGAAAAAACAATTATTCGCACTCGTTCTGCTTATTAATTTTCCAGGTTTCTGATGTGCATGCTGAAGGTGAAAGGATTCTGGGATGGAAGGGTTGTTGATGTTGCTGGGTGTTTTCCACACTCATTCCACTATATCCTTACATTATAATTCCATTATTTTCCATTTCCTAGAATCTTTACTTCCCCAACTGCCGTCGTCTTTAGCTCTAGAGCTGTTGTTCATTACGCATCCAGTCCAAAAATACATACATATCGATAGAATTTGGAGATATTAGTTCTGTTCTTTCTGAATAGGCAAAAGGAACGACACCATTTATCACGAACACCCTTCTTTACTATACTAAGCCAGGTTCACTACCCTCAATCACTGATTTCCACGTTTTGCTTCGTTAAGTTTCCCTTAAAGTATTGGCATGTATTTTCCAGAATGGTTTTGAATAATCCTAGTAACGTCAGACTAATTGAGCTGCGGAACTCTTCTGCTCCTTACCCACTACTTGTGTTGGCAAGCCCATGTGTTAGCATTTTATGTGGACAGTGTTAATGCATTAACAACGACAACGTAATCAGCATATGTACCAGGTACTTTAACTATTTCCAGGTTTCCAGTAAGTTGTAATGTAATCAAATTGTAAAACTATCAGTGAGAGCAAGATAATGTGAAGAACTTAGAGTTATTGCAGTCGGCTAGGAGAATTAACCTGACCACTTACACCAGTCCTTATAAAGTGCCTGTCGAAAGCGCAGGAACTTGTTCTTGTCAGGATCGTTATTTTCGACGTGCCTATCAATACATTCCCTTTAGTAGTGTTCACTATGACAAGGATATCGGGCAAGAAAGTAGCTCAAATAGTTTAATCTGATATGCATCTCCCATTAAGGTTTTTTTGTCCTCTACTGGATACCGGTGAGTATCGACGTTCACCAAATGCGAAGCGTCAGTTGAAATCCCATCCAGTGCATCATGAAGAGCGAATGAAATCTGCTATGTCCCAGACGGTTGTTATCATTGTGCTGCAGCAGACGCAGTAGCGTCATACTTGGGTAATTGAACCTTTATTATACTTTACTAATATAATTATGCAACGAGATCAACGTAAATATGTAAAACGACATAAATCATGATTATCATGCAAAGACCCAGATAGGAGTCAGCTGACAACTGATGGCGGTCTTTGTATAGTGCCATTTGAGGAGATTGAAATCACTATAGTTCCAAGATCTTCACGACGAAGATATATCCGATCAGATTATTCGACCTATCGTACTTGAGAGACGTTGTTGTCAGTATGAACGCTAGAAGTGGGCGTTTATTGGTCGAACTGTCGACGATAACGGTGGGCATAAACATATAGAGCGATATTGGTGAGGTGATCATAAACTAGGTTTTTCGGGAGTTAATATCGGAGTAGTAGTTTTATTTTAATTGCATATCACAATATGTTAACTTTTATTTACCACCAATTATTTCTCTCACAACACGGCATTGTCAAATACGACCACAATGATGCTGAGGTTTGACCAAGGCAAGGAACCTCAGGTGAGCTTAGAGTCCGCGGTTGCCCTTTCCGGAGGTTCACATGTTATCCGCTACAGTATGGAGGCCTTTGCTTTGCCTTTTTCTCAGTCAGTTTTTTACCCTAACCATGCTATCAGCAATAACCTGTCAAAAAGAATGGATTAGTAATTTGGTTTTCTAATTTTACTTGTATGAATTTTAGTAAGTTTCGTTTTCCTTTGAATGCCATATTATTGTATAGCACTGCAAAGCTCACTTCATGGATTTCCACCCTGTGTAATCCAGTTATAATATCCATTGTGGTTTTGACAAATTTTAAAGGCTAGAATTGGAGATATCAAAGCAATTCCGATAAATCTATTTCTACGAATTCAAACTCACATGCACCTAGCGAAAGCGGCTCGAAACGCTAAGGAACTATTATAGAGAATTCCCTAATGAGGTAGAGAATTCCTTATCTGCATAACTAATACAGTCCACGGATCGATGGAGACCGAGTAGCTGCAACGTCGCGCGCGTCCTATGAGTCCATATCCCGTTCTGGCCATGGGACACACCCAATAGTCCCGCCATTTGACCCAATGACGCCGTGGAGACCGTCCTCGCCAGCTACATCATTAATTCCACCTCGTTTGATTTTACCTTGCATATTCATTTCCTTAGGTCATAATGATAGTATATGTAATACTTAGTCCTTGAATCGCTGACACATTAATGTTATCGTTGGTTTTCGTGTAATATTTTATCCGTGCTAACATAAGTTAAATACGTTCATTGCTCACAGGTACTTCACAAATGGTTCATAGTTCTTGCACACTCTCGTGAACGCTCCTCACATCCTTGAGCTGTGAGCCATTACATTGGTGTCTGTACTATTGTTAATGTGTTTTATTAGGTAACAAACCCACTGAACCACCTCATTCGCAGTTGTTGGACAGACATTGTGTATCGCCTTGCGTTGTTGTGTAAATAACATGTGTATACTGATAAAGGTTTAATTACCCATGTTCGAGGTACTTCACAAACGGCTCATTTATGTTCGCACTCTCGCGAACGGCCAAGCATAGGGCCAAGCGAGTCTAAACGGACGCATAGTGAATCATTGGTTTGGAATACTTCGTGATGGAAAATTATAGCTCGAGGGTGAGGGATGCTGGGGGTGCACTTTTGCTACTGACGACAATGAATTGAGGGTTTGGTGGAAAGAAGTCATATGCAACTCTTTAGGAGCTTGCAGATGAACACTGTGCAAGGTCTCGACTGTTTCGGAATATTTTAAAATTTGAAGTCGAAAACGTTCGACAAATAGGTGTTGGACGAGTAGAATGACATTCAAAACAAATTCCGTCAACGTATCGTCTGCACAACCAGAACCACTTCTTTCTCTGCTGTTTTTTAATGTGCGAAGAGAAATGCACCCTCTACAACCGGCGGCGATAGGCTCGTTGGTTGCCTCATAATGAAGCTCCGTAGCGCTTCCAAATATCCAATATCCCACTAGCTTTTTAAATTTCAGAGCCAAGTGACAACGGCGCTAAAAAATGTCACAGTGCAAAATATAAGGATTAAATTCTAGCTGAGGCTTACACGATCTGTTAGCGATGTTAGTAATCTATAGAAGGAACAATGGTGGAAAGATGTCTGAGTAAAACCTATTCTTGATTAACTCAGGTAGTCATAAATAAGTCAGTTCCGTCAAACAAGGTTACAGCAGTGGTAGATTTCTTCTACAACCAGAAAATGCCCAGTAATAATCGGTATGAAAAGAATAAGCTAATCTGTAACGGAGAAGACTATAGACATCGTGAATAGAATGACACAACCACTCTTGTTGGATTTCACGACTTTTGCTAAAAAAATATTGCTGACACGGTAATAGACCTAATATTCACAAAAGTAACAATGTAAACATTAATTAGTAATGCAAGTGTAATAGATAGCTGTACGAAATAATTTATTCCGCATTAGTTACAACATAACACACGATAATAGTCTAGTTTTAGAATATGAAAACATAAGAAATTGGAAAAGTGATAAAATTTCTCCGTACAGTGAACTCCAAGAATGCAACCACAGGTGTTAACGATGAACGTTCCACAAGTGGATGCTCCTCACCCGCTTGTTCGCTACAAAGGAACAATAGTCATTCATGCCTTCTTCGACTCGGATCTCGACTCTTCCACCATCCTCGCAAAGGTAGAGTTACGATTGCATAACAGTGCCTTCGGTGAGTCGAATTCGATGATTCGACCGTCTTTCAATACCATTACTCTGGAATGCAAATTACATATGGAATAACTCTCAGCGAATACACAGTGGTAAATACATAAAGCCTAATGAATTAGTTGTTAGTAACTAACGCAGTAAAAATAGCTAGACTACATAATGAAATATAACAGTTTGCTCCTCCTAGCGGTGTGCAGCGGGTGAATTCACCCCCAGCAGGGTCTCCTATGCTGCGGAGTCCGGCATTTCCATCTGGAAGCCCAGCAAAGAGTAAACCAATACTATGATCCACCACCGTCCAAGTACCAAACTAGTGGCATGGTCCCTCTGGTCCACAACGGGGCTACTACCTGTGGTGGTGACGACCTTGAGCAGACTTTGGCTAGGCTGATCATGGGACTCCAGGGAACCAGAAGGGCTAAACCAGCAAAACTCTGGAAAAATAGAAATCATGATGGGGTCCGCACAACCAGTGAAGACGGACAACCTTAGTATCCAAGTAACCAACTAAGTAACAGCTTGCTCCGTCTACAATGCGAAGGTGAACAAATATTTTCATGAACTCTAATAAAGTTTCGAATAATTCCGCACTTAATGGGACAAACCTGTCGTAATCCATGATCGTATTTAGACGATGCGCAATAGTAAACACTGTGCAATTCCGGAAATATTCGCGAATAGTTTCCTGATAGTAGTGGAATGTTTAACATATTCTGCTGCTCATTTCTCGAATTAGAAGTCATTAATTGTTCCCAAGAAATGAGTACAATAAAGAACGCAAACCTGAATGAGGGCATCAGTCTCAACATCGACTGCAGCTGTCGCCTCATCAAGAACTAGCATTCTTGTATTTCGAAGTATAGCGCGTGCAAGGCATACTAGTTGACGCTGACCAACACTGCAATTAAAAACAAGGTTCTATAGCTACCATACTGAGTAGTGAGCAATAAAATAAAAGTTGTAAATGGTTTTATTCCTTATTTTCTATTAGTTTCACGATAGCCACTGAAAGAGTAGATGATAACCACAACAAACCCTAGAAGTCTCAGCTTGGCTTCCGTTCCAAACATTAAAAAATCATTAAAATGTTTACTGCTATACCATTATGCTTAGAATGAGATGGTTCACGTCTATATGTTTGTGGATTACAATAAGTGTGGTTTAAGCCGTTATATTTGCGTTCCATTGCGCCTAACATCTCCGTAAACTCACAGCTTTCACTTCGTTATGATAAAGATCAAGATAACTATACAAAAGTAATGTTAACTTTCTACTTGCTGCCTATAATTATTTTTCACGACATGGTGTTATGTGGTATACAACCTCAATAACGCTGAGATATTTGTAAAACTTGGACCCAAGGCCAGATCGAACCACAATTAACCTCTGCAGAGGCTCACATGTTAAGCACGGCACCACTGAGGCCCTCGTTCTGCCTTTCTCTCAGCAAGTCCTTTTAGCCTAACGATGCCATTGTAAATTCGACTACAGCCTCGGCTTAACTGTGTTATGTGCCGAATTATGTTCCCCAGATCAATCTTGTTCATGGGTGATTGCTCATGGCACCGTTAGGATAAAAAGACTGTCTGGTCGCAAGGCAAAACGAGGGCCTCAGTGGTGCCGTGTAACGCGTGAGCTCCCGGAAAGAGTAATTTGCAAATATCTCAGCATCGTTGTGATAGACATCTTTTATTCATTACTATACCATACTATTCTTTTAATTTACTTTATTTTGCTTTATTTTTTTCCCAACCTAATATTTTCTCCACCTTCATTGATAGAATAATCGAGACCTCCTTGCAATCCGGAAACAAAATCTTTTAGGTGAGACAGTTCGAGTGATCTCCATATTTCATCGTCATTATTTCTTTGAAATGGATCCAAATTAAATCGTAGAGAACCCGAGAACAGAATCGGATCCTAAAAGTACTACACGCGGATATTCATAGTAATTCCGAAGAATACGAGAGAGTTTAAACAGATAATACTGTGACTATACAAGAAAACAAACAATGAATTACTTCCCGGAGTAAATTTCAAACCTGAGGTATTATGGTGAGATTACTGCGAAGGTCGTGCAACCCAATACTAGCGATATCAACTTCGTCGACAATAATTTTTCCAGAGACCGGTTCGATCATACGGAAAAGGGCAAGCGTAAATGAGCTCTTTCCTTAAAAAGTAACTGCTGCATAGAAATGAAATGAACAACAAAAAGTAACTAACTAACTAATGTACCTGCTCCAGTGCGACCAACGATTCCTACCTTCTCTCCCTCTTTTACACTGGCCGAAATGCCTTTAAGCACTAGATCTAATCCTTCTCGATACCTGGTAATAAAAGTAGGAGCACTGCTGTTAACCTTTCATTTGACGCTTGCCATAATTTTTCATAGCAGGGCATGATGTGAAATACAACCACAATGATGCTGAGACATTTGCAAAATCTGGACCTCGGCTCAGATCGAACCCCGATTTCCTTACCCAGGGGCTCGCGCATTACACATTGTACTACTGAGGCTCTTGGTTTGAGTGTCTCTCAGCTAGTTTTCTACCTAATGCTGCATCAGCAATCACTCCTCAATTAAGAGCACTATTTATAAGGGTACGGTTCCATTCCCCTAAATGAATAAGAAACATGCACTACCTTGTCGAGTAATGAACAAAATCCACCGCACCATGTGATGGCCAATTTGCAGGCGGTTTGTTTTCTGGAATATCCCATGGAGCCTTAAAACCAACAGTATTGCAACAAATTCAGTATCACGAAGAAAAAGAAACCCAGGAATAGTTGGACACACCTCGGTTGGCGTGTTTGTGTACTCCTCAATTCTTTCAACAGCAACAATATTTGCTTCTATTTCACTTATTTGACGAACTGCAAAATTAAGCACTTCTGTTATCTGAAATTTAAAAGCTTACAGGATTCACTAGAATGTCTATGTTACAGCCCGAAAAACAAAATTGAACTCACGTTTAGTGCATAGGAGATGGATACACCGATTATACCGGGACTTGTGACCCAACCAAATTCCTTTGAAATAACAGCGAAGAAGGCCGCAAAAAAAATCTAAAAACCTACGTAGTTTTCTGGGCAGAAAATATGAACGTATAATACTTACCACCAGGTTGCCGACGAATTCCAAGCGTATTCCTAACCATCGATTAGCAACGATGTTAGAATATTTGCATCTGATAAATTCGTCGACTATCCTACCAGAGCCACTTTTGAATTCTTCCACCTACATACGAACGTTTTATTTTTATAGAAAAGTAAACAAAAGTGGATTAGTATCTTACAAACTGTCTTTATTTAAGCTAGTGCGTGGCTGGTATTTCTTCTGCTCCAAATACGATGGGTGACGCTTCAGTGATTTCACCTTCCTCAGAGCAAAGATGTACTCCTTAGACGAAGTAAGGTCAACCGTCTCTTGTCCACACACCATGGGCAATAGTGAAGCAATAGAGAGCAATTGATCAAAGTGTGACACATGGTTGACCTTACTCTAAGGAGTAAGGCTACGGTCTGAGAAAGCCGAAATCGTCGAAACCTCAGTGATCGTACTTGAAAAAGCACGTTACCAACCTCGCGCTACCTTAAAGAAAGACAGTTCTTATAGCATATCATTCAGTATTCATGCCAGTGTTAAATGAAAGAGAGTCTTTTGAATTAAAAGCAAAATATTTCACTCTTTACTGTGTTCTTATCAAAAGCAAAAAAAAAAAATAAAAAGTTTCAAAATCACAGCAGTCATGGTTTAAGTTTATCGTGTAAAGTTCAGCAGAAAAACTTTTTGGTAACACAATCCTAACGACGAGCAATTTTTCATCACACGTAGGTCATGGCGATAAATGATGAATGCGGCCTTATGCTTGTGATTTGCGTTGTATAATTCGCTTTTGTTTTTTGGAAGTAATTTATACTCTTGTCGTATTCTAAGTAATCTCTTTATTCTTTTATGCACCTTTGCATGCTTTTTGAATTTATTGAAATCTTGAGTGTGAAGAGAAAAATTCAAAATCTTCACCATCCAATCGCGATATTTTCAGAGTTTGGTGAATCACTGAAGGATAAATCTGCAGTGCAAAAACAATCTCTACAAGCCTCTTTAATGATACATTATCGTAGCGCAAGGGTATCTCTAGGTGCTGAATTTCAGCGTTCATATAGAGCATACATCGTTACACTCCCCTCATTAGCCATCCTCCTTTCTTCAGCGGCTATAGTCTCTTGTTATGGGGAACTAACTCGTAAGGTTTTTATCGTAAATTACTAGGGGTGGAATGAATCACTTCCCGACTGACTCCTAATGTTACCTTTCCCATTGGATAAGCAATCGAGTGATTACAAAGAATGTACCAAAAGGATTCCTGCAGGCTCAGATCAACGATGAATAAACAGTGGAAATTAACTCATACTGTCCAATATGGCATCTTCCTCTCTCTCCTCACTCTTTGTCCACGAGTGCTTTAAAATAACTAACACCGAAAAGAATGCGATAACAGAATGTGATTAAAGATAACATCTCATAATATAGTAATTTTATTATAATTTTCAGACAGCAAACCTTCCCAAATGCTCGGATGGAGGCTGCTCCTTGAATAGTTTCTCCGAAATGAGAGAAAATCGGAGACCTATGAGTACTTTCCAGACGTTTCAGTTGGCGCGATGTGGGTACGTAGAACTTCTGAAAGCGCAATATGAATACTCCACGTCGGACGAAATAAATAGAAATTAAACTCGCCAAGAAAAAGTAGTATATGATAACAAGCGGTAGAATGACGATGGAAAAAACCGGAGTTGAGATCACAATGACGATTACCGTGCATAAAACCTTAACGAAATAAGCTTGATGGAACAACTCAAAAGTACGAAGTAACAACTTTCTGCATAACTGTATAATGCTTGATAACCAAACAATGCATAAACTGCCCTCCACAAGCAGTAACACTGCCAGTAGTACTGACGTATCCTCTTCACCACGTAAATTACTTCTTCACAACTTCCCCTTCTAATCGTCATTACTGTATCTCATCATTACAAAATTTCGCAATTCATAATGAGCACCTATTTACCATTCTGATGACGTACGACTTGATTCTAGTTTGACGCTTTTCAATTTGATAGTAGCCCAAGTTATGGATGATCATTACAATTCGATGTGTTATCGAATCGAACCAAGGCTAACCACTTGGAAGTGGGCCATTATTTTCGCTACCACCAATAGCACTGTATGGAACAACACCACAAAATTTGCAACACTAACCAGTGTAGTCTCCAAATACCGGACATCTGGAAACAAATAACATGTTTTAACGCTTCCGTTTATTCTTCACCCAACCCGAAACCTTGAAAATCTATTACAAGAGTACCTGATAAATGCAAAAAACTAATCGTATGACTACAACGATGATCTGGTACGAGCAAAAGTCGAAACCACAGGTATATTTCGAACCCGTGACTACCCTTACCGGGTGTTCATGTGCTGTCTACTACACCAACCAAAGCCCTTACTTTGTCTTTCTCTCAGCCTGGATATTAAACTACGTATTGTAAAGTTTGAAACAGTAATCTGATGGTTCTTGATATTCTTGTTGAGCAAACACGAGGTGTTACTTTATTCTTTATTCCGTTAAAGCTGATGTTTCGGCGGATTTCGCCTTCCTCAGAACCTGAAAGGTCAAGTTGAGAGAATCTATCAGGCCAAACACCTCCATAACCAAATAGAGAAAACGCTAAACCAAGATTTCAATCACATTGAACCTAGAGTAGGTTCTTTGCACACTCACCGCTTTCTATAAGTCTTCCAATGAGCATGCCACGTGGAGACCAACCGCACAGAATTCACGTGGAAGCATAACGTGCCCATTCCATCAAAATAAAGCTTATATACTGCCCAATACCACGTGTGATAACGAGGCACTCTTCCCTGCGGTTCATTTTCAGATTTCTGGAATTAATCCAGTACGCCTCGAGAGTTTGCGCGCTTGTGTTCTCCATTCATGTGCGAGGATCGTGACACGTACTTCAAAGTCCTCCCCGTTATGTCTCTGGCCCCCATGCGTGCCCAGCGGGGTATTTGGTCTATGTTTGCCAGCAAGGTGTTCTTTTATGCAGACACAGAGGGATCTGCCCGTTTCGCCAGTGTATTCGTCTCTGCATACCTTACAGGAGACCAGATAAACTGTACTCGAGCTCATGCAATCACCGTCTCTACCATTAGGGCAAATTATGCAATTTTGCGTTGCACATAGACGCTCACATAAGCGGTTACGAAGTAGCTAGCGCCTAAGATTACATTTCAGTTCACCGAATTTTCTAGACCCGCCCTTCTTAAGCAGCGGTTTATATCTGCACTTACACCATTTGAGATGAAGCGTGGAATAAACAAGACCTTTTTATCGCTAGAGTTGTCGTTTAGGGGCCTAGGATTTCCCCTAAACCTATTCCGACCTACAGTTTCGTAACCATTAGAAATGGCTATTTGCCGCGCCAAGTTCCGGGACTCATCTCTCTGCTCTCTCCCGTGCACACGTTGGTTGCTGTTCGAAACATGTTTCTTACAAGCGCCCTTTTCGTGTGAGAAGGGTGAGAGGAGAGGTAATGAACCAAGATGTTTTTACTACTTGGCTTTCGGTACCACTTCGTAATGTAGCAATTTTCAGATAAGTTGATTTGGACATTCAAGAATGGAAGCCAGCTTTCTCTCGGTTTTTCTCGGGTGAACTTGATATACTGTGACTGTTCATTCAACGACTCGAAACGTTTGTCCATTTCCTTTTGTGTTGAGCAAAAAGCAAAACAGTCGTCTATATATCTACAGTGGAGTAATGGCCCAAGATCGGTCACAGGTGCTTCCACCTTAGACATAAACGCAATGGCAAGGCTTGGAGCCAGTCGTTGTCCCATTGCCAACCCTCTTATTTGAGCGTAGTACTTTCCAGACCATCTGAAGATTGAGCAGCTCAAGCATTCCTTTAAGAGTGCCAACAACTGCTCTATCTTAAAGCCATATATGTTTATTTCTCCTTCGTGTTGTATAAGGAGTTTGAATATGACTTGCATTGCAGAGTTATTCGACACGTTTGTATAAAGGGCGGTAACGTCGAAGGACTCCATCACGCACGCGCTGTTGGGCTGCGCAGTACATAGACGATCCAGAAACATCTGGGTATTCGTAGAGTGGGCTGGAATGTGTTTCAACAAAAGGTTAAATATTAGGGTCAAAAACCATGTTGTCCTATCCTTCGGCCTGCCTACACCGCTAATGATAGGCCTAACCTTATGATGGATCGGTAGACGCAAGATCATCGCGGGATACTAACTTATGAGTTTTTACAAACAAATACAAGACGGGACATGTTGGTAAGTCAACTTTTAGTTTAGAGAGTAATCAGATGATTGCAAAGAAAGGCGACAAACTAACCTGAAGAACACATGTCGCTAGATAACGAAAATTCGTCGGGAGTAGCATATCCACTGTCTCAATATCCTGCGGAAAGAATACACTTAAGTGTGATACATTTACAATTCAACTCAGAGCCACAGGCTATCTACGAGTCCTATGGCTGTAAGGGATCCGAATATACATAATTTTTCAATTAGATTCTAATAGAGACCATACAAAAGGACAAAGACTAAAGTTCTCGGCGTTGATCTATCCCTGAGGGATACGCCATGCATTCGACATCAATAAGCATCGTTGGCGGGTTGGAGGCGATTGAATGCGTATCCAGCCTTTACAATGACTCGCGGTGGCCTACCGATGTATCGAGTCAGTGCTACTATCCTTTCAGACAAGGCCGGTACCAATTTGCCGACCCCGGAGGGATGGAAGGCTTAGAGTACCTGGGCTGCGGGGATCGATCCCATGTATATTGCAGGGCGCTTCCGATCACTGCGCCACACGGGCCCTTTAGGAGTATAGAGGCCATATAGCAATATAAAACTACGGAACATAAAATAATGTGCACTTGTTAATGACATAAACCTTAAACTCACTTTTGAACAGCGGTTCAGAATTCTACCCAATGGCGTTGTATCATAGAACGACATTGGTGAGCGCAGAAGATTATTGATCAGAGGTGCATGCAGATTGTAAGCAGCAGCAAGTCCGGCAAATGACAGATATACTAACGATAGAAGAAAGCTTAACGCTATAACGGAAGATTCAAGACTTCGCGCTTAACACACCACTTAACGAATAGGCTTACATTCAGCAGTTCCCAAGAATCCATAAACTGTCAAACGCCAACCAACAGCCATCTTGTTTTCGTGGTAACCATCATTCTCATCAGACCTAGAAATATAAATTTTACCACAAGTTATGAAGACAAAGTGAGCATAAAACAAAAAAAAAGAACAAACCATGCTGAGAGCCAGAAACTGCGGAGAATTTGAATTAACTGATATCCACAAAGGAACAAAATGAACAGGAAACTTTTCCAGTATGATGCCGCCCTCATGTAGAGGAAATAGACCGACATCTTCACCTAAAGCGAAAAACATTTGCCAAGAAACAGACATAACGCTAACAGTTTTGTACTTCAAAATACAAAAAACCATGGATCTATCTATAAAAGAAGCAGAACTAATGAGAGAATTAGGAAATGGTCAAGAGATAAAGACGAGTTTTTCGTCAACATATCTAACAGAACTAACACTGCCAGTTTCGATTCCCTCCTTCTTGATTAGTACGTTGCTGAACGACTTGGTCAGAGATGAGGACAGAGCGGATGCACTACTAAACTCTTCGTTAAATCTAATCTTTATAATATTGTATTAATGACAAATTTTAATTAACTCTTCACTACTTTGTTGGTTTTTCGAAATTCTTTTAACTATTAGACCAGCCGAAGAGGAGAAATTGAGCACTTGCGAAATAAAACTTCTTCAATCGCAAAAGAAGACTTGTAATTCCCTTAGGTCTATTTTTCAATCCTATATTTGTCTAGAGTTAAGACTGGAGGAACAAATGAGATGAAACTCAAACATTTAGAAATTTCCAATTTGCTGCAGTTGAAAAAACGAGAAACCCTTAGGAAACGCCACCGCACCATGTTAGACGATATCGTTTGTTCGTATAGATTTGCGTTCGAAACACGGACTCTGATTAAAACTAAAGGGTATGTTTTGTGGACTTCACGAAATAGAAATTCCACATTGGTATATAATACTGCTATCTCAATAATACTCAGATATTTGTAAAACTCAGACCCCAGGCCAGGTATGGGTTCACTGACGACTTGTTTTCCTCAATTCAATCCTGTTGACAAGTGGTTGCTGACGGCACTGTTACGATAGTAAACTTGCTGAGAGAAAGGTAAAGCAAGAAAGGGCCTCAGTGGTGTAGTGGGCAACACGCGAGATTCCGCAAAAGAGTAACTGTGGGTTCGAATCTGGCCTGGTGTCTGAGTTTGGCAAATATTATATCTCAACATCGTTGTGGTTGTATTCTTACCGTGCCATAAAAAAAAATTGGCAGTAAGTAAAAAGTTATATATCTTAATATTTTCATCCATGCGTAAAATCTGTAAATTCCATTCGCTCGTATATACACTGATAAAATTCACTACTAAGTAGGATATATTGGCTAAAAAATGAATGACGCAATTAAACCTTAAACTCCATTTAAAAAAGGAATAGAAAGCTACTTTTTTTTCTCATTCTCATATTGAACCATTGAAAGACGAGCAACCTCGTAATCTGAAAATAAATGAGAATAGAATATTCCAAAAGACCACAATGTAGGCTATTCAAAAAAAAGAACGAGACAATGGAAATTCACTAACGATTTGTGCCATTTTCTAGTCCTCCATTTAAATCATCATTTGGACTCTCATCGTCGTTTCCCTCACTTTCCGAACTTGACCTATGTTCTTCTACAAATCTGTAGAACACGCCACGCTGGTTCATGAGAACAGTATAGGTCCCATTTTCAATTATGTTACCATCTAAATCAGCACCTTATTAAGTGGGTAGAGCATGATATGTAGATTTAGATATTGTACAAGGAAACCACATCTAGTAGTATTATTGGGAGCATCCTAAAACCTTGAAGCTTTCGAGAGAACAATGCAAATTTTTAGGGTGAAACAGTCGGAAATTTGATTAACTCTTAGAGCTAAAGTGTTCTCGAAGAAAAATTTAGTTGTAACGAAACCACTGCAACCTCAGCTCCAAAATTACTCTGTAAAACCATTATCACTTGGAAAAAAACACCCACATACTTAATAACACTTTCTGGAAAGTGGTCAGAAACGCACTTAATTGGATGTGAGGGCTCGGAAATAATATCCCGTTTCGCAGTTTTGCTGGTCTAGCCAAGTGTGCGCCAGGTCGTCAACACCAAACGCAGTCACGTCATTATAGATCAGAAAGATATTTGCCACCATGCCACTGGCTTGATAACAGGACGGTGGTTGATCCTGCTATGCTGGTACTGGTTTACTCTTAACTGGGTTTCCTGGTGGAAAAGCGGGACTCCCTCTCAGCTTGGAAGATCCTACCGAGAGGATGAATCCCCTCGCTGTACCTCGCAGCCCAACACCGAGGAACAACCCCCAGCCACAATGAAGCGGTAAACCGTTGGGAGGGTCAAAAATACAACACCAACAAAAGGATAGTTTTCAAATGCTACAGCATTACTAAAGTTAAGTTCTGTGTAACAAAGAACTTAATTCGTATGATGACGAGATATTTGCAAAACTCCGAACCGCAGACGCCTGCGGTGTGGAACGAACACGTTATTGCCCTTTCCGGGGAGTTACGCGTTCACCACCACACCATGCGGGTTCTTCGTTTCGCCTGACTCTCAGCTAGTTCTATCGATCTTTTGCCATCAGCAACCACCCGTCAACGGGATTGATCTGGAGAGCCCAAATCGGCACTGAAGCCAGTTAAGCTAAGGCTATAGTTGTAATCACAATCTTCACCTGTATCACCTGTAGTCCCGTTGATCGTCGAGTGACTTGAGCGGGCGCCAGTAAATGTTCCATTTTTCCCACTCGCAAGGATAGCCCAGTGGGTTCTGCTCGCTCTATGGGGTAGTCGAGCATCATATCTTTCGTCAAGGCTCTTTGTGAAGAACTGTGACCATCGGGTCGGTGGTCTTTCTGCAGTACGTCTGACATTCCGAGGAATCCAGTCAGTAACGGCTCTTGTCCATCGGTTGTCATTCATACGCATTACTTGTCCGACCCAACTTATCTTCGACTCTTTGGCGTACAGAAGGAGATCCTTGAGTTTTGATCGTTGACGCAGATCGGAGCTTCGGATCCCAATCCTTACTTGCGTGGAACTGGATACTCCCAGCATCCTTCTTTCGACTGCACGATCATCTGAGTGAGAGTGACCTTTCATCCTGTTTACACAGCGACCAGGTTTCTGACGCATACGTTAGGGCAGGAAGTACTGTTGAGTCGAAAGGGTGGGCACGGAGTCGGGTGTTCTTTGTTCTCTTCACTACATCCTCGATGCCCTTGAAAGCTTCCCAAGCCACTCGTTTCCTTCTGCTCAGCTCTGGAGCTAGGTCGTTCATCATATTGATATCCCGACCTAGACAGATGTAACTGGAGCATTCGGAGATATTCGTTCCGTTGAGCGTGAATGGGGCATGCGAAACCAATCCGTTCCTCATGAACATCGTTCTTGTGAGATTTAGTCGAAGACCAATCTTTCCACAGGCTTTATCGAAGTCGTCAAGCATACACTCCGCTTGGCTAATGTTTGGTGTTATAAGGACGACGTCATCAGCAAAGCGAAGATGGTGTAACTGCCGACCAACGATTTTCACTCCCTGTTATCGCATTCCAATGTTCGCATGACGCTCTGGACGGTGGTGGTAAATAATTTTGGCGAGACGGTATCGCCTTGCCTAACTCCTCTTTTGACGTCAATGTTAATACCGATGTAGAATGGTGATACCTTAGTTGTGAAATTTTTGTACAGCCCACGAAGAATCTTTATGTACTGAGCAGGGACTCCTTCACTATCAAGGGCTTCCAAGACTGCTTCTATCTCAGTTGAGTCAAAGACCTTCTGTAAATCGATGAAAGTGAGATAGCGCGGTCTTTTGTACTCTCGTGATACTTCAATGAGCCGTGTTACCGTGTGGATGTGGAACACTGCTTGCTCACATGGCTGTCCTTCGTATACTGTTCTGTCAATCCTATTTAGGACAACTCAAAAGGAAAGTTTGTAGACCACAGACAGTAAGCAGAATGGGCGGTAGTTGCCGATATCGCGCAGGTCATCCTTCTTGAACACTAATACGGTCTTGCTGGTCTTCCACAAAGTAGGGACCTTGTATTCCGACAGGTAACGTGTGAAAAGCTAACCCAGTGTGTTTACGAGGACTCGCGGATTGTTCTTCAGGTGTTCTGGTCCTATCCTGTCTGGACCTGGTGCTGTTCGATTTTTCGCATGTCGGATTTCAGAAGGGAGAACCGGTGGTACGATATATTCATCCTCCTTTATTTCACATGAAGGAAGGTAGACGTGGCTAGCGAAGAGATACGAGTCGTATTCGTGAATGATTTTCTCCATTGCCTTTCTGGACGCTGTAACTGTCCGTCTCTTCTTTGCATCACAATCTTAACGTTTTTATCTACTGCCTATTCTTTTTAATATATTTATATTTCGCAACATACCCTGCCATTAAAAGGAATAGGCAGTAAATAAGAAGGTAAAAGACTTAATATTTTAATTGCGAAGTTTTTTTTGCTTTTTCCACGGTTCTTGACCTAATTACATAAACAGAAAGGATAGGAAGCAAATGTGTTAATTTATCTTACTACTACGTAACAATTATTCTTCTGAATACAAGTTATTGGAAAACGCATTGACTCCTACACAGTGCGAAAATGCATGAAACTGAGTTATTTCTAAACCGACTTTGCTTTTATGAAGAAAAAAGGTATAACGATACCTAGAATGCTAAAGACAAGAGTATGCTTAGAGATGAATTATCGACCAAACACTCCGTTACCAAGAAGCTAATGTAACTGCTCCGATAGGAAAAGTAATACCTTGCAAAACGACAATTTCGTCAGCAGATTTCAGGTAAGACAATCTATGAGTAACAAGAATCCTCGTTTTTGCTCGTAATAGTCCATCAGGTCCAAGCACCTGTTAGCAATTGATTGTTAACAAACGAAAAATGTGATAACAATATCATTTCGACGATTTTAAATTACGACCACAGTAATTAACAGTGAACCTTTTCAAATATGTGTCTTCCAACATGGGCATCAACTGCTGATAAAGGGTCGTCGAGAAGATACACATCACAATCCTGATAAATAGCTCTTGCTAAAGACAAGCGAGCTTTTTGACCTCCGGAAAGGTTAACACCCTATAAGATACGACGTATACGTGTATTAGTTATTATTTTGAATAACAACATGGGGATAAAAACGTCACCTTCTCCCCAATCTCTGTTTTGTCACCGTAAGGCAAAATTTTCAGATCTGGTTTAAGGGCACATGCTGACAGTACCTAAATATTCGTCAACGGAATTTTGGTCCATAAATAGTCGAAAGCATTTTTAAAGCACCTTCACCTCATTATATTTCCGCTTGTCGAATGGCTTTCCAAAGAGTATGTTATCACGCACTGTCATATTTTGAATCCACGGCAACTGCGAAATATAAGCTAATTTCCCGTGAATAGCGACAATGCCTCGCAACTTTTCCATCTCACCTGTAAAATCGTATACATGTGCATTTTTTATTTGTTTGTTTACATATTTATTTATTTCACACGATTCGACATGACACGTGGTGCGGATCCTAGCACTTTTTGCATTCCACTTGTCTTTTCTCCTCTATCATTCACATGGATATTGGAATTTTTCCGTGTGGGTTCCACTGCAGCTTGAGGATTTTCGCCTTCTCTATGAATTTCCTTGAGTGCTGGTCGAGTTTATTCTTTCTGAAATCCTAGGATGACTACGCTAGGATGTTTCGAGATCTTCATCACAAGCAGTCGTAAACTTTTGTGAATTGAAAGAAGGCAGCTGATGGCAGACAAGTGTGGCACCAATTTCCTGACACTGCAGTGATGATAAGCTTGATGAGCCCGTTACGGGTAGAACAAAGGCCTTACTTATAGTGAATGGTGTCACTGCCACTGCGTAACTCCACCAGAATATCTTGACGAGCCATGAAGAATGACGCCAGTCCTAACACAATTACCAATTGAATGGTAATTTGCTGGTTGATTAAGGCTTCTGTTCCATAGATTCGAAAGTACTGCTATTAGGACTTGTTATGCCATTTAGTGACTGCTCGGCGTGTAGAGATAGCGCAGCTGTAACTTGAGGATTCATCCTTCATCAGAGCTAGTTGCCAACTCTTGCGAATCAATGAGATTTGCCACCTCGCCGCCAGTTTAGTACTACTACGGCGGTTAATTCTGGCGTTGATCTACCTCTAGCTGGCTTCCGTATTGAAGCAGCTTTTCAACAACTTTCACTTTCACACCTCATGTATCACCTATAGTCCCACTGACCGCTGAGTGACTCCAGCGGGCGCCAGAAAATCTTCTTTCTATCCTTGTCGCGTGCAAGAGTAGCCCAGTGGGTTCTCCTCGCTCTACGGACACGTGGGGCAACATATCTTTCTACAAGGCTCTTTGTGAAGAACTCTGACCATTGGGTAGGCGGTCTTCATGCAGTACGTTTGACATTCCGAGGAATCCAGTCACCAACAGCTCTTGTCCATCGGTTGTCATTCATACGCATTACGTGTCCGGCCCACCTTATTTTCGACTATTTGGCGTAAAGAACGGCACCTCCGATTTTTGATCGCTGACGCAGATCGGAGTTTCGGATCTCATTCCTTACTTGTGTGGAACGGGATACTCCTAGCATTGTTCTTTCGTCTGCACCTTCGATAACGCGGAGTGACCCTTCATCCTGATAACGCAGCGACCAGGTTTCTGACGCATAAGTTAGGCCAGGAAATACCGTTGAGTCGAAAAGATGGACACGGAGTCGGGTGTTCTTTGTTCTCTTTACTACATCCCCGATGCTCTTGAAAGCTACCCAAGCCGCTCGTTTTCTTCTGCTCAGCTCTGGAGCTAAGTCGTCCATCATATTGATTTCCCGAGCTAAATAGATATAGCCGGAGAATTCGGAGATACTCGTTCCGTTGAGCGAGAATGAGGCAAACGAAACCAATCCGTTCTTGAGGAACATCGTTTTTGTGAGATTTAGTCGAAGACCAATCTTTCCACAGGTTTTATCAAAGTCGGCAAGCATACGCTCCGCTCGGCTAATGCTTGCTGTTATAAGGACGATTCCACCAGCAAAGCGAAGATGGTGTAACCGCTGACCATCGATTTTCACTTCTATATTATCCCATTTCAAGACTCGCGTGACCTTCTGGAGGGTGGCAGTAAAAAATTTTAGCGAGGTTGTACCGCCTTGCCTAACTCCTCTTTTGACGTCAATGTTAATATCGTTGTAGAATAGTGATATTTTGGTTGTGAAATTTTTGTACATCTCGAGAAGAACCTTAATGTACTGAGTAGGGGTAGAGACACCTTGACTATCAAAGGTTTCCAAGATCGCTTCCATCTCAACTGAAGTCCTTCTGTAAATCGATGAAAGTGAGACAGCGTGGTCTTTCGTACTCTCGCAATACTTCAATGAGCCGTGTTACCGTGTGGATGTCGTCCACTGTACTAAATCCTTTTCGAAACCCTGCTTGCTGACGTGGCTATACTTCATCTGGTGTTCTGTCAATCCTGTTTGGGATGACTCGAGTGAAAAGTTTGTAGATCACAGACAGTAAGCAGAATGGGCGGTAGTTGCCGACATCACGCAGGTCATCCTTCTTGAACAATAACATGGTCTTGCTGGCCTTCCACTGAGTAGAAACCTTGCATTCAGACAGGTAACGTGTGAAGAACCTAGCCAGTGTGTTTACGAAGATTGGCGAAAGGTTCTTCAGGTGTTCTGGTCTTATTCTGTCCGCACCTGGTCCTGCTAGATCTTTCACCGACGAAATGGCGTGTCGGATTTCGGAAGGGAGAACCGATGGTACAACATCTCCATTCTCCTTTATTTCATATGACGGAAGGTGGACGTGGCTACTGAAGAGATCCGAGTAGTATTCGTAAATGATTTTCTCCATTACCTTTCTGGACGCTGTAACTGTTCCATCTGGGCGCCGGAGAGGAATCATTTTGGTCTTGTAATTGGCGAAGCTTCGGTGGGCTTTGCGAATGCTTTTCCCAGCCTCTGCAACTTCTGCCAATACTGCTGCTCTTTTCTCTCTAAAACCTTCTTTGATCGCACGTCTGCATTGTTTTGCAAGCTCGGACGTTGGTTCGCCGTTGCCTGCAGCTCGTGCGATTCCACGCTGGCATATCAGCTCGAGTGTTTCTGGAGACAGACGTTTCTTGGTGACTTTTGAACTCTGTTTTTATAGGGCTAACGTAAAGATCTTGAATGAGCCGATCGTATTCTTCGTCGATGTTATCGGCAACGGCATCTTCCCAACAACCGACTAATGAATTGAATAGGTTCCAGTTTGTGGTGGTTCTGGAACTTCGGCATTGGAATTTAGCGGCTTCTTCTCCTTTCCGCGAGAAATAGAATCTCGCACGAAGGAGATGATGGTCTGATTCCGTGTAAAATTTTGGGACAACAGCGAAATTGGTTAGGCAAAACCATCCATTTACTATGATGTGGTCTATTTCGTTATGGTAGTCACCATTGGAAGACTTGCACGTCCAGCGCCGAGGGTGGGGTTTCTGGAATTGCGAGCTACCATGGATTGTCTTGGTCGCCATGATAAACTTAGATAGCTGCTCACCCTCTTCGTTGTTCGTTCTCTTCTAATCTCTGGGTCCCAATGTGGCATTCTTCAGAGTTTTTTCTTGGTCCAATCTTAAGGTTGAAATCTCCAATGATGATCTTAAAGAATATGTGGTCTTCTCTGTAGAACTGCTCCAAGTCGATATAGAACGCCTCGACTTCTTCCTCGTCATAGTTTAATGTCGGTAATGTCGGCGCGTAAACGACGAAGATTGTCAAAGCCGGAATTGATCCACATCTTCTTAACCGTAAACGACCGGTTCGGGTTGTAAGTTCTTCGAATGAATCGATGTTCACGGACAAACTCGTGCTGACGAGAACGCCGACGCCGCCAACTCCTCTACTGTTCGCATGTCCCGAAGAACACTATTCTTCTCCGTTGTAATAGACGGCGTTGAATGGGTGGCGCTTGCTCGCCTCGGCCAGGCCGATAACGTCGTAAAATCCAGGCAGCTGCCATTGGTCCTGAGATTTTAGCAGCCTCTCGGCTCTTTCGGGGTCAGGGAAATGAGGCCCGTTTTTTTATTTACTGTGTTTAGCATTTTTGATACCGACGTATAGCTTGCTGGGCTCTGAACGTGGGGGCTGGGTATACCCACAGGTAGCTTGCCAGGCTCTCCCAGAGTGGACATGGAGCTTATTTGTTGGAGGCGACTCCTAACCGCCTCCCATATACTTCCCAGTCACTTGATTGCAGACTTTTGGCCGAATTGACTCGTAGAGTACAATCGGCATAAGCAAGAACGCACCCACACACGCATGCATGAATACGCCTAGCAAATACGGAAAGTATTTGCCAAATTAGCGCAGCAGAAACAGGGAGCCCATCCCCTGGATCCACCTGCTTCTCAGGAAAGCAAAGATCGCTTTTGGTCCGCGATTAACCCCCTATCCGCCACATGAGGGCGCGCCACGTAGCCTCGTGACTAACCGACTCGAGATCCCTCATATGAGGGAGATACGTGGCACCTCTTGTATGAATCATGTATTCTTATTTATTATTTCTCCCATATAATCTACTGTATTATAAAATACTACTGAACTATTACTGCCCAATGAATCAACTTTTTTTGAACTTGAATTTGTTGTACACTTGTTTCGAATCTCATTGCCATGTCCTGTAAATAATGTGCATAAACGGTTTAATTATTTAAGTTTGAGGTGTGGTAATTTAAATGAAGAAGACCCGAATAGCAGAACCATCAGACATACACAACCAGCCAAGTCCACTACCCTTTGGTGCACTGGCAGCCTGAAAGGATCTGTCGTCTTTACTATAGGTGGAGGGATGACTGCTTGGTAGCACATGGTATTTTATATTGAGAAACGCACTCCTTCCACCACTGATCACTCCTCATTGCTGGAATATAGCACACTCTCATTTCTGATTACTGTCTTTTTCAGAAGGGGTAAAGTGAGATAAAGCAGCATACACATGGATAACTTGGAACTTAAAGGTTGTGATCGCTCAGAGAACGAGCAGCGAAAAGGGAACTCACTTTGCGGTATCCCACTGAGCTGAAGTGCCAGTCGAAGCGAGCATGAGCAAAGCCATGCTTCAAGGCATAAATGTCATTTTCCGTCTTCCTCGAGATAGCTCTTTGAATAAGTGAGATCCTATTTCTGTAGAACAACAAAACGATGCTACCAAGTGTCTCTGAGTGTAACCTTCGTTGAAAATGTATCAGTAAAAAGGAGGAGCGCCAGCACTGTGCGATAATGTTCCGATCATCGACCAGCGGCCTATCTTGTTAATTACAACCTTCAATCTTGCATTTTCTTCACTAAGTCAATCACTTCTTTAATCCCTGTCTGCTCCACTGATTCGGAGAAGAGTTGAATCCGAAAGATAAAATACTGGCTTTTGCATATGTGACTCAGGGCATTTCAGGAATGTTGACAAATGTTGCAGATTCCACTGCACTACAACCATGTAGTTCTAGCGAAATTACATTAAGAAAAAGTGTAACGCAGTACACTGTGACGATGAGGAAATGAATATTTCGGTATTTTCCTGCTAGTTTCTATAAACTGAAGATCTAAAGTTGTAAAAATAACAAAAAGGTTTCGAAATGTGGCTATAACCAACCTAAAAGTGCAGATAAAAGACTCGACTTTCCCGCTCCAACTTTACCAACGACAGCTATAAGTGAACCTCTAACCACATTCAAATCGATATCCTGAAAAAAAAGAAAGCAATAAATAAAAACATGTAAAAACCTTGCAACGAATTACAGAAGAACCTTAAGTGTAGCTGGACCAGTGTCATTCCATGCAGCTGAGAAATCAGCAAATTCGACAACATTTTTAGATCCTAAAAAACCATGGTACGAACGAACGCTTCTATTTCTGATATTATGCGAGGCAGAAACATACTTCGGACTTCGGAGTATTCAAGGGAAGAGAGAGAGAGAGAGAGAGAGAGAGAGAGGGTTGCAATTTAAAAAATTCAACGCTTCACATTTCACGACATAATTACTAGTAATACAAAGAGTTTGAGGAGATGGTGGATCTTACTGTTCGAACTCGAAGGCAAACTGACTACAAAGTGAGCGACGGTGACATCCAAACACATTACACAACACCAGATACTCATTCACTTTCTATACATAGTTTCTCTTCAGGTTGTGCGAAGAGCAGCACTCTTTCCATTTGCTTCGTTGTAAAGCACTGACCATGCACCAAGGTATTCGAATTTGGGAGCGAATTCGATTTCAACCTGACGATTTTGTCTTGCTTACCAATGCAGTTGGACGTTGGTCAAAGGTGACCCTTCCCAAGTTTCCCTCGTTTAATACCCAAGGGAGGTCGCTCAAGAATTTTGGTTTCGGCTCAGTCATTGGTGGATATCCGCCTGTGAAAAGATTTGCATTGCGCCGACGCAGAAATTTAAGAACCACCGCCTAGTTATTCCAACGTTACTATCAAGTTTCCTGCAACATCGACGTTTCCTGAAGATGGTCACCAGATAAACTGAGAAGCGGTATGCCAATATAAAGCAAAAGAAAAACTCATTAAGCTACAACAGAACGACAGATGCACCAAACGAAATCTGAATTGTAACCTTGTCTGACAATGATGAGGTCCAGTGAGGGTTCTGGTTCACCAGTTTCAGGTGGCTCAAAAAAAACCAGTATATCACAGGTGAGGTCTATGTGTACCTCACCTGTGATATTCTGATTTTTTTGTGTAAAGACTTAGGTCAACCTTAGAGGTGGTTTAGTTCAGGTTTTACAAATCCTTTTTAGACTTATGTTATAAATCAACACATTCAAAGCGCTTTAAGAAGCAGAGCTAATAGATTTTCTTCGTATTTTTGTTGAGCAAACGCGAGGTGTTACTATTCTTTGTTCACGATTAAGCTGACGTTTCGGCGCATTTCGCCTTCTTCAGAGCCGCTTTCTATGAGGTTTCCACTAAGTATGTCACGTAGAGACCAACCGCACAGAAATCACGTGGAAGTATAATGTACTATGTAGTATAATGTACTATGTAGTATAATGTACTATGTAGTATAATGTACTATGTAGTATAATGTACTATGTAGTATAATGTACTATGTAGTATAATGTACTTGTACATTATACTTCCACGTGATTTCTGTGCGGTTGGTCTCTACGTGACATACTTAGTGGAAACCTCATAGAAAGCGGCTCTGAAGAAGGCGAAATCCGCCGAAACGTCAGCTTAATCGTGAACAAAGAATAGTAACACCTCGCGTTTGCTCAACAAAAATACGAAGAAAATCACTTGATGAATGCCGAGGTTAATAGAAAGTCGGTCGTGGCAGTTAGAGCTAATAGAACTAAACGTATTCAAATAATGTGTAACTGGTTTGAAGTGAACATAATCGTTTGTGATTTCAAAGCACTTACCATTAAACCGATCCAGTCTCTGCACAATTGTTGAGTCAAGTTCCTTGGCAATGAAGTACTCCTTCAAGCGTTCGTTTGACACCACTGCCTATGAAGTAAATTTTGACTACGCCGTTATCACGAACATCACGCAATATCGATATTATTACCTGGACCAACTGATTTATGAGCAACGTTATCATAACCATAGGAGATCGCAATTGATTAAATAAAGTGAGAGAAACAAAAGCGGTCTGAAATGTGACCCATAGGAAACCGCGTCGATGAGAAGGGTTTAGCCCAGAAGAATTATTTGACTCACCTGAGGTGTTAGCTTGTGTGAGGAAGAAGACAATACGTACGTACCAAATGAGAACAAAGCTACCTACAAATAATGAGTATAGGGAATTGAAACACAGTTCGACCAAGCATTTTTAGCATAAGAGTCTCTATTCACCAAAAACGGACAGGCTGTGTTGAAAGAATCCATAATATTCCTGACAATATACGATTTTTTCAGTAATTTTAATTCTTTGCGTCGTATGTCGTTAATATGTTCTTCCATTGGTTTTTCCCAAGCGTAGAGTTTCACAACCTGAAAATATGTATTGACTACAGTAACATTAACTATATTAATAACATTCAGCAATAAAAGCAGTTACCCAAAGAGAGACTAGTTTTGCCAGTCACAGTGGGTGACAATTCTCTAACAGATCTTCACTATTAACCAAGCTGCATTCATGTAAGAGCGTCAAACTAAGGAGTGATCAGGATGACAACAACGGACTTGGCGAACGGAATCGCGGAGTTTCGATGGAAAATAGCAGAAATCATCTACGTTTCACTGCTAAACGGTACGAGGGACTAGTCAACGGCGGACCTATTTTCCAGGCCTGTATATTCTGTAAAAATCGATGGTCGGTAATCACATGTTCGCTTAGCTGAAGACATCGCTCTTGTAACATCAAACACTCGCCGAGTAGAACGATCGCTTACCGACTTCGATAACGCCTATGGAAAGGTTGGTCTTCAACTAAACCTCACACTAAAGAAATTAACCTAATGAGTGACTAAGCTCCAGAGCTGGGCAGGATAAAACGAGCTGCTTGGAGAGCTTTCGAAAGCATCGAGGTCGTCTTAAAAACAACAAATACTCGATTCCGAGCCCATCCTTTCGACTCCATTATCCTCCCTGCATTAATCTATGCGTCAGAAACCATTCTAAGCAGGATGAAAGATCACTCAGCGTCTTTGAACGAGCAGTCGAAAGTACAATGCTAGGAGTACCACGTTTCACACATGTGCGGCAAGGGATCCGAAGCTCCGACCTACGTCAACCATCAGAGAATCAAAGACGCCTTTTTATAGGTCAAACTGCAAGATAAGGTGGCCAGACACGTAATGTGTATAAACAACAACCGATGGAGAAAATCCATTAGTGACCCTAGAGCGACCAGAACCCAATGGGCTACTCTTACACGCGACAGGGAAACATGGAAGGTTTACTGGCGCCTGCTCGAGTCATTCAATGGTCAACAAAATGACAGGCGATATAGGTGATGGGTGATACATGCTGTTGTGGTCTCCCCCATAGAGCGACTTTATGCCGGTTACTCGCGAGGCAACGTGGAACGCCCCCTGGTGGATATATTGACTTGGAGAGAGATGTCTACAGAGAAGACAATACAACCTTCAATGTCATTATTGGAGATTGTAACACTAAGAGTAAACCAAAAAGAACGTCCTAAGAATGTTGTATAGGGACCCAAGGGTTAGAATGGAACGAGCAGGGTGAGCGGGTGTCTGAGTTCATCATGACGACCAAGATCATCCATAGTAACTCATAATTTCGGAGGCCACATTTTCAACGCTGGACGTGGGAGCCCATCAAAGGGGAGTTCCATAATGAAACAGACCACATTATAATAAATCGAAAGTTTTCCCAAACCAATATCATTGCTGTCGCAAAATTCTACAAAAGATCAGACCATCGTTTTTTCAGACAAGATTTCCTTCCTGGCAGAAAGGAGAGAAAGCTGCTAAATTCAAAAAACCAAGTCCTAAAACTACTATAAACTGGGAATCAGTAGGCTGTTATGAAGATACCGTTCTTGATAACATCGACGAGGGTATTTTCCGGCTCATTGAATATCTTCAAGTTAGCGCTATGAAAGCTGCGAGTTCGAAAGCCACCAGAGGACGTCTGCCTCCAGGAACACTGGAGCTGATATGCTAACGTGAAATCGCACGAGCTGCAGCCGCTAACTCACGTCCAAACTGCCAAAACCGTGCATAAAGGCGATAAAAGTAGATCTTAAAGAAAGAACGGTAGCAGTTATGGCCGAAGTTGCAAAGGGTGAGAAAAACATTCGCAAAACCTAACGAAACTTCGACTGTTACAAAACGAAGATGATTGAACTCCGACACCTAGACGGAATTATTAAAGCTTCCGGAAAGGAAATGAAGAAAATCATTCACGACTACTACTCAGATATTTTCAATAGCCACGTCCTCTAGCCCTTATATCAAATAAAAGAGGATGGATATGTCGTAGCACCGGTTCGCCCTTCCGAAATCCGACATGCTTTTTTGTCAGTGAAAAATTGAACAACATCAGGTCCGGACAGGATAAGACCTGAACACCTGAAGAATCAGTCGTCATAAACACACTGGTGCCGCTCCTCACACGTTACCTGTCAGAATGCAAGGTTTCTTTTCAATGAAAGACCATCAAGACCGTGTTATTGTTCATGAAGGGCAACCTCTACAATATCTGTAAATATCGCCCAATCCGCTTACTGTCTATCATCTACAAGCATGTCAATCGAGTCATCGCAAACAGGATTGACATTTGATGAAGGACATCCGGGTGAGCAAGCAGAATTTCGAAAAGTACAACGGATCACATCCACACGATAACACGACTCAATGAGGTATCGCGAGAGTACAAGTGATTGCTCTTTCTCATCTTCACCGATTTAAGGAAAGTTTTTGACTCAATTGAGATATAAAAAGTCGTGCAAGCCCTGGACAGTGAAGACATCGCTACTCAACACATATTCTTCGCGAACTATACAAAAATTTCACAATGGATGGCGCAGTGGTTAGTGGCCCCAGCAACAAACGGCTACGATACCGCATCGCAGGCATTGATCAAGGTTGAGAGCTTCATTCTTTTTTATATACCATTTCAAAGCCCATTACATGCATGTCTGCCTCGAATGCAAACAGTGATTTTGGCAAATTTTAAGTTAGAATTTCAGAAGTCAAAATAACAGTTTCGCACATTACTTATACGAATTCAAACTGGAAAGTACGCACCACAAACAGCTCGAAACATTAATGGAATATAGTGTCAACGAATTGTCATCGTACGCAACGGTGGTTTGGAAAATTTGTCTTGGCGAATCTGGTCCTCAAGATGAGGGAAATCGCCGACGTCCTTCTTCTACTGAGGACGATAAATTGGAAGCTTTGGTGGAAGCAAATAAACATAAGGATTCTTTAATAATTAACAACTTCGAAACTCGAAGAAACTCGACAAAATGGATGCCGTATGAAATGATCGAGAATTGAAGAAGTCGCCATTTTGAGGCATGGTCAACCCCTCTTCTGCACAACCAGAATGACCCCTTTTCCAACCATATTGCGACGTTCGAAAAGAAACAGACTCTCCACAACCGGCTGCGGAGAAGTGCATCCAGCAGAATGATGAATTGTACCAAATTGTGCCAGAAACTTCAATGGCGACGCTTGGAATCGGTCAACAGAAAAGGATCAGCCCTCATGCACGAAAAGGTGCGCCCACACCTGAATTAGCGATGCTGCAAGGGTCGAATGAGTTAGGCTACTAAACTCTGCCTCACCTCACCATGGTCGCCAGACATCTTGCTTACCAACTTAGCCATACCCCTCACTCAAGTATCTCGACAATTCTGTACCCGAAAAATACTCCAGAAACCAAGCCCCAAGTCAAGGCCGAAACTGTCCTCAACGACTTTATTGCCTCGAACCGTTTAGATAACATTGTTTCTTATTGGAAACGATGTGTACATTTCAATGGGTTTCATTTCGATTAATAAGGCTTATTCCGAGTAGAGAAATGCCAACTAAAAGCACAGGGTGCAACGAGATGTTAATTTCGGAAAACATAATAGAACGGCTTCAGGGCATCCGCAGCGACGTACGTGCGTTGCGTGCATGGAGGTTACTGTGTGTTCATAGTCTAAACGTCAGCTGAGCTAAAAACCGTCAAAAAAATGGCTGTGAAACACATAGGCGGTGTCCTTGAGTCGCATCTAACAAAATTCATATCTAATTAGGAAATCCCAGTAACATATTCGTCAGCATACCCAACTCACACATGATACCAGCAATCCACCCGTTAACATACGTCGTCAAAACAGTAACGACACTGGGCTCCATTCTCCTGCTCACTAAACAGTACCCAAGTACAAAAAACCTGCTAAAATTTTGCGGCCAATCTTCGCTGCCGAAATGAGTAATTACTATCGTGACAGACAAAATATGCAAACTATTTTCAAAAACATAAAGAACTAGAACCTTTCAAAAATCAAAACGAAAACCTCAATAGCTTCGAATATCCATCTTGGCGTCATCATACAAAACTCCGGACCGCAGGTGTATGCGCTAGGGAAGGAACGCGCTATTGTCCTTTCCGGGGAGTAGCGCGTTCACCACCACACCACAGAACTAGCTGAGAGACAGGCGAAACGAAGGAACTGTGTGGTGTGGTGGTGAACGCGATACTCCCCGGAAAGGACAATAGCGCGTTCGTTCCCCACCACATAGACCTGCGGTCCGGAGTTTTGCAAATATCTCAGCATCATTGAAGTTATATTTCACAATGTATACCCTGCCGTTAAAAAGAGTAGGCAGTAAATAATAAGTTAGAAATACTCTCTTATTTTATCATATTAATATACGCTTTCATGCTAGTTGTAGATTGTTTTATGTATGGGACTTCACGGCTAATGCATTATTTAACTAGCTATCTAGCAACTAACCCTTGCCCACATCCATTACTAGTCATATCCGCCAGACACGGCAAGATGACATGTCAGTGACCTTGTAACTGTTTCTGCTCACTCCAAGTAAAAGTAGCACCTTGCCACTAACCTATATATTGTTTCCATCATCTTTTGGCCCTCCATTTTGCTACACTCCAGTTGTTAAGATTTCGTTTCTGCGTAGGAGGCCGAAAGAACAGAAGCAATTACCATATGACTCAGCCAACACAGTCATCATATTCATCAAAAGCAGAACATTTTCTAAATTTTTACACGATCAGCCTTTAACATCTAACGTGTGGATCACAGTGCTTTTTGCGTTTGATTCATTTCCTAGAACTTATCATCTACGAAAGTCTAGCAACACTTGCGTGTAGGACCGGATGCCGCTTGAGAATAATCCTCTTCTTTACGTCGTTCAATGCTGGTGGAGTTGATTCTCCCTGCAGTCTTGGGATAACGGGGATGGAGTGTTTCCATTTGGATTTCAGAGAGTAACCTTTTCCCATAAAAGTTTCGTATCAATTTCCCAACCCCGGAAGACTGAGAGGCATGGTGAACCTTGGGCGGTTTCGAACGAAAACCGTGCTCGTGACTACCTGCATGACTACCACTGTGTTACTTGCACCTCTAAGCCAAAATACAGGACCTACAAAAGCATTTATAACTGGTTCGACCTCTACGATATACCTCTACGATATTCAGGGTTACCACCCTTCATACCATCCTAGCATATAATGCTCTGATACATCGCTTTTGCTTCTTATATGCGAAATGTTACGTCATGAGTGAAGATATGTAGAGCACACAATTGCAGACGAATAAATTACATCGTAAATCTATAGTTCCGAAACACGCGAAACACCGAAAGGGCGCTTTCATTTAAACAAAGTAGTCGAACACTGGGTAGGCCTGAAATTAATGCATCAGAACCGCCACCAAGCCTAATTTTTTGCAGTGTACAGATCATTCAAATATGACTCACAAGGTCCACCTTAAACCAATCCAGAATTTATATTTTGCATGCTTCTTATGTTCTTTCCATGCAAAGATTTACCGCCTAAGAGATGTTCCTAAATGATGCATTGGGATGTGCAGCGAGGATCATAATCCCAGCAGGGTCTCTCAAGCTGAGAAGGAGTCCAACGTTTCCATCCGGCAGCCCTGATAAGTGTAAACTAATACCAGGATCCACCACCGTCTTGGTATCAAAGTAGTCGATTGGTGACAACTCTCCCTCCGATCCACAAGGGCGATGACTGCTTGTGGCGGTGACGAGTTGGGGCAGACTTTGGCCTGGCTGACCTAGGGACTCCAGGAAACGACACTGGCTAAACCAACAAAACTCCGAAAAGTGGAAATTATACCGAGGCCCATGCGACCAGTGAAGATGGGCCATCCAAGTGTCAAAGTAAGTACTTGTTTTTTTTCATTTCTTCACATATTTCCCAGCAATTCCATTTCTTGTGTAATAAACGAGAAGTAGGCTCGAATAAAGATGGACTAGCTATGGGAACCAACAATCACTGAACAGATCGATTTTCATTGAATTCCGTCTTAAAATACGAAGTGTTAGAACGTAACGGGTGAAGTAGTAATACAGTTGTGGTGCTTCTCAAGGACACTATCCTACTGCATGCCAAGTCCTCCGAAGGTACAGCTTGTTGGATTACGTATATTTGTCTAATAATGGAACTTTGTAGTGGGCAAGTTATAGCGAATATTCTCTATCTCACCACGTTACCATGCGTTTCTTGTATATATATATATATATATATATATATATATACATATATACTGCTCTTAATGATATTTCACCCAGTCTCCTGTACTACGAAACTGTTTTCGCACACGACATGTGGTTTGTGCTAGACCATTACTGGTAAGGACTTCTCAATACGGATACACCATCGCAAGTGCAACAATTTCCGCCCATTCTGAGCCTGCTTCTGAGCGATAACCCCATTAACTTTGTGCACTTTTTATTTTCTGCCTCTACAATTTTTATGGCAGGGTATTATGCGAAATACAACCACAACGATGACCCGAGGTATTAGGAAAACTCCGGGCCGCATGCCTGTGGTGGGGAACGGATGCGCTATTACCTTTTCCGAGGGCTAACGCGTTCACCGCCACATCATGCGGATCCAATCCCGGACATAACCGGGTATAGTCCCCTATGGTGAAGATTAAAATAGAGGACCACATACCAAAAATCCGAGGCCTTTCGTATCTCTCAACTTAGAAGAGCCAAATTGGCTCTAGCGAGCGAGGTACGAAAAGAAACATTACTTGTGCCTGCTCAAATTATTCTATCATTAACAAAACTATAGTTAATAAAGCCGACAAGTGTTTAAGAAGGTTATACTAGCCTATAGAAAAATACTGATAAATCATAACGAGATGGAACAAAAACTTCTTGTGCATAAGCCCAAGTCGAAGTAGTATGTGAATATGAACCTCAGAAATTATGGCTAACCCATTGGCGGCTAATGATTACCGAAAAACACGTGACACAACCTCTACAATAATAAGAGCGATGAATTGGACTAATACAGAACCTTGAATACAGTCTAGACAGAAAAGGGATAAAGGAATAACCTACAAAACGGCAGTCACAGCTGTTTGCACAAGAGGTTTAGTGAATCACTAATCAATATCACCTCAGGCTGTTTAGAAGCCCAACCTACCGCACAAACAGCATTATGCAAAGTTCTGATAATATTGCGACTGCGTCAAGATTCAAAGAAATATAGCTGGTCTATAGCTAACTTTTATCTCAAATTTTATGGACGAGTTAATAAACCGGCTTCATGGAAAAGATCCCAAGGATCCTGTCAGCATTGTTGAATTCAACGTTTTTGTTAAGTTTGCATATCTCTAACAGGCTTTCAGCACAAGGTGTGATGCTCTTGATGATACGTCAAGACTGTATAATTATGAATTTCCATGGCACAAGAATCTATTTCAAAAGCTCCCTTCAAGAAATAGAGAGAAACCATTTGGACCTCACGTACTGTGAAACAAAAAAACAGTCACATTTTCCAAACGGCAACTTCAGCGCGAAACTCTGTTTCCCTGTAGGTGTAGCAATGACGTGAAAACCATCTGTTTTGAAAATATGCAAACTACTCAAAATTGAATATGTATTCTTCTCAGAAGATGAAAAGGAAACAGGCAGAAAGAAGGAGACTTTTTCACTGTCATTCTCGAAAGTTCATATGGGTGAAAAACGCGTGGTTAGAAGTGTACTTGAAATTATTACTTGTAATACCGCAGAGCAAAAAAACCACCAAAATCAAGGAAAAAGATCAAACCTTAATTCCATTGAGTAGCTCGTTGATCATTTTCGTTCGTTCATCTTTAAGTTTCATTTGTGCAACCTATAACAGAATTCTAAAAACTGAAATGCGAAGAAATGCTAGAGATGTTACCTGCCACTTCTTCACGATTACGGAAGATATTATATTTGATGGTAAGAATATTATCATAACAATAACTCCTGGTGCAGCTGAGTAGCCAAGTGTAAAGAATAGAAAAATTAGAGCCAAAGTTATCTATAAAAATATAATATGATTATGAAGATACGACAAGTTGAGAACGAGGAAGGAAAGATAACAAGAAGAAAAAAAGAGTAGAACCTGAAAGGGGCAACTCCAAAACTGCTGGATTTGAGGAGTGATCAACTGGAACCGTTCCACATCTATAGCCATCAGATTCACGATTTCACCAACAGTCTTGTCTCTTCGAGCAGAATTAGACAAATTTAATGTCTAAGTGTGGTAGAATGAATGTCGGGGAAAGACGCAAGGACCGAAGCTGAACTCACCTTCTTGTAGATAGCCGCAGTTAGGGCAGTTTGAAACTTAACTCCCATACGGAACATTATATAGAAATATGAATTGAGTACAAATGAGCGCACCTAAACCTTCGGAAATACCGCAGATGTCATGAACAACAATTAAGAAAACATCGGTTTAAATAATGATATATCAATAGCAAACCTCTGATGCAGCGAACATTAAAACTGCATAGGCAAGACCAATCCAAAGAGCAGCTTTCGGATCAGACACAAAGCCGATGAGTTGACTAGAATATTATTGTAAACGTAACATAAAATGAAATTTCCGCAGTCGTAGATGAAGTAAAACGTGATTTATGTCTAGTACACGGCCAGATAAAAAAAGGATAAAGCACTCGGCGTTTATCAATCTCTGAGGGATACACCATGCATTCGACTTCATTAAGCATCGTTTGGAGGTGACTGAATGCATATTCGGCCTTTACAATAACTCGTCGTGGCCTAGCGATGTATCGAGCCAGTGCTGCTACCCTTCCAGACAAGTTTGGTACCAATTTGCCGACCTGGAAGGGATAGAGGGCTTGCTGAGCCTGGGGCGTGAGGATCGATTCCATGTGTACTGCTGGGCGCCCACGACCATTGTGTCACACGCGCCACACAGTCAGATACCCGACCAAATCCAAAGAAAACGGCTTCGCTTTCTATTGAAAGTAAGATCCACTGAATAATTTGAAGAACTTACTGAAGTAAAAATGGATTCGCGAACTGCAAGATATCACTAATTACTTTAAGAACAGTTGCTGTGAGAAACTCCCAACGAAACATTGCGAAGAGGCATGCCACTACTGATGGGGCACTAGGTTCACCACTGCTAAAAAGATCAGAAAAAGTAGAAAAACCATCCTGCCATTATGGCAATTCTCCATCTGTTGGTGATGTACATGTATGATACTCACCCAGCAGAACTTTTTCGCAGATCTACTTTACGATGGTACTCTGAAATGAATTTTGCAAAAAAAAAGTTAGAAAAAGAAAAACGAATGATGAAAGCATCACCTGCTAGACGTAGTTTCCAGTGTAGCTCCCAGAGATCACTCAGACACTTCGTCGTACTTCCTTCGTTCAGCTCGAAAAGATCTTCAGGCTAAAAAATTATTGCAAGGCTAATCATCTATAGTAGCAACACTAAGAAGCCATGCACAAACCCGGGATATGTTTTGCACAACAGAACATGAAATAAAAATTTCTTCCCAATTAAATCACATACCTCTTCTCGTTTCTAACAATATTCTAAATAGAAATCAAGGAAATAGACTTGCCTCTAAATCCTTGCGAGCCCCTTTCCATGGAATTGGGTTGAACCACCACAGTGTGAGACGATTGAAAAACGAACTGTCTAATTCAACATTCTGAAAAAAGCACTACATGAAGAAAGACAATACTCGTTAAAACATTTTAGTAAGTGGAACACACCGCTTTATGAAATGGGTCCCGTGGATCCGCAAAGAACATAAGAAAAGTGTAGATAAGTACGGAAATATACCATATGAAATACGCTATGCACAAAGGAGATGAAAGACTTGACGGGTCCTAGAAATAATTCGTTGGGTCGACAGCACTAATTAGATCTATTGGTCAACAACCAAATCTGCAGCTTTAATCTCCCAATGAAAACAAGAAAATTCACACTAGCCACTTTAAAAACAAGTCAGAACACATTGTACAAGTGACTACAAGGATAGCAAAAGCCATGAATGGTTGAACAATCTGAGAGCAAGATTGTTCGGCTGTGTCAATGAACAAAAAGAAAACCTGGTAAAAACCCTGATATATGCAAGACTGATTTTCGTAAGGAACAGGATTCTACTTTCTCAGTTCTATATGCAGTTAACATAAGCCGCTCACTGTCCCGTAGCTCACCTCGTACCCTCATTTGTAAACCCCTTGAAAGGACAACAAGGAATAAACTACTTCGCAATAACAAAAATGAAGTGTAAATAAAGTTTTAAGGCTAACCTCATTTCCTACCCTAATGTTTTGGTAGAACTGTGGTGCACCGCAGACAGCAAAGCACATTGCAGACAGATGGAGAATCCCCGATGTAACCATACCCGACTGCTTCCGTAGGAAATGTGTATACGTGGCACAAAGCTGGAACAACACAATCTGTTCCATTGGAGAAAAAACAAAAACAATGTTTTGGTGAAAAGTGAAATAACTCACGAATGTAACAGTCCACAGAATAGGATACAAAACGTCTGATGTTGGATAAGGTCCACGCGAGAAAACTGTGTACAGTGTGGTAAAAAATGACACGAGGGTTATAACGCTGCAGAACACCTGTAATGCTATAACCTAAAAAGGTAAGAAAACTCCATGAAACACTGGTTATAGAGATCGGAAGAGAACGAAGTTTGTGTTTTAAACGGTTGTATGATTTCTGGGTGCGTGTAGCGCAGTGATCGGAGGCGCCCTGTGATACACGTGGGATCGGTTACCGGCATGGCGCATCCTTTAGGAATTGATCAACGTCGAAAGCTTCAGCGTTTATCCTTTATGATTTCTGGAGTGAAAGAAGACTCACCATTTTCAGTACTAAATGTGCACTCCATGGCAGGGTCACGTACTGGCCACCAGTAATTTTCGCTTGTATGAGTAGGAACGGTAAGAGGATCCAAAAGAACGATACTGGTATCCATACAAGTACAGTATGTTGAAAGCATATGGAGAAATTCGGAACGCCATCTGGGAAGGGATTGTGCTGGAAAAACCACAAATGTTGAGTATTTCTTAGATATACGTGCGAAGACGTATATTAGAACTGCCTAGAACTGACTGCACAGAAGTTTCTGGAAACGTACTTACCCACAAATTTCCTCCACAAAACTCTTTCCAGTCCAATCCAGACATCTATGTGTTGTACGTCTAAACAGCAGCAAGTAAAAAAATTTAGGAAGACGGTAGGAAATTAACGATAGAAGCTGGCGACTAGATTATAATGGAGTAAAAGTTTTGAGTGTAGGTAGTAGTAGTCCTAATGTATGAAAGATAGTTGGTAACTGCCATGAAATAGAACTTAGAACAAAATACGCCCAAGTGGTGGGCTAACAGGCAATAAATTTCGAACGAGTAGCGTTACGAAACCAAGAGTATAGTAGGTCCTAAAGGATTAGTGAGGAATTTGAATACAAAAAACCAAGCGATACTGCTCAGTAAACCGGATTAAACATCAGAAAATGCTGACAATACGAAATACCACAGCAAAATCACGATGTTAGTATTTGCATAATAATAGTCCAGTCTTATAAAAACGCGCACGGCGCAGTGGTCGGCGTCCTGAAATACAAACGGGATCGCCTACCCTCGCCCAAAGCCCAGTAAGCTCTCCATCCCTCCGCGGTCGGCAAATTGGTACCAGACTTGTCTGAGAGGATAGCAGCACTAGTTTGACACATCGGTTGGCCACCGCGAGTCATTGTAAAGGCCAGATATGCATCCAATCACTTCGAAACGATGTTCAATGAAGTCGAATGCATGGAGCACCCCTTAGGGATTGATCAGCACTGAGAGCTTTGTTCTTCATCCATTAATAGTTCAGTCTTCTGGTACTACTTCTCATAGCTAGAGCACATCAGCCTCTGTAAAACTTTCCGATATAATGGAAGAAATTAGCAATTCCCAAGGGACCTCTCTGGATACAAATACTGTTGATCGGTCTGTTATTGTCCTTCCTAGCTTCTTCCATACATAGGAGATACTTATTTGAAGAACAATGTGAACATGAAATTCGACTATGCTTCATCTGCAAAAGTGAGGGCGAAACGGTTTGTGAAGGCACTTAAGAAACTACCGAGAACGGTAAGTCGTTAGCTTTGAAGAATGTCACTTCTCTAAACAAGCCGTACATCAGTCCATAAATGAGCTTCTAAAGAATCGAAGAGATGTCAGCTATGCAATAATCTGTGAAAACTTCTATAAAACAAAATGTTTTAATACGACTGAACAAACGGCAAGCAAGGCCATCAAACCGTAGGCGGTCGGGAGATGATGACTCACCTTCAGAAGCTGGACGAATGCCACAGAGCATTCCGATGAATATGAAACAGTGCTCTGAGTGAGAATGATGTTGTTTCGGATTGTTCGGAATACTCTGTGGCCTTCGTCCATGCTTATATTTTAAATTAAAGGAAAAGGAATCGATCCCTTCGTCCCACCCTTAGCAATGCCTCTATCTTTCCGGAGTCGGCAAATTGGCACCAGACTTGCTCGGAAGGGTAGCAGCACTGGCTCAATACATCGGTAGGCCACCACGAGTCATTGTAAAGGCCAGATATGCATTCATTCACCTCCAAAAATGCTTAATAAAGTCTAATGCATAGCTCATCCCTCATGGAGTGGTCAACGCCGAGAGCTTTATCGTTTATTTTTTAAAGCACAAGGTTCTCGTGATAGCTTCGCATCACCTTATCAATGAAAGAAAATGCATTACCCATTTATAGCGTGGTTAAATGGAAGTAAGTTCTAAAGATACGTGGTAATACGTGTTAACTAACAATTCTACATGAAGTTGATCTCCAGTAAAAAATAAGAACGCAAAAGAAGTAGGCTAAGAGTGGAAAAAAGAATTAAACTAAAATTGAATAATTACTTTATAATCGTACCTGAAAACATCTGCGATAAGTACCAGTAACTCAAAACTGCATAACTTACCTCTTCGGGTGCTGAAGTCGGCTGTGCAATTAGGCTAGCGCCAACCTTGCGGTTTTGTAGGTGACGGACTAGACATTCATTTATAAAAGAAAACACAGGTAGAGAAAACAACTAAGTGACATCACAGTTTTCCTTTGAATCCGCTACTAAACCCTGGTTAAACATCGAACAGTCAAATATTTATCCCGTATACATGAACACATGCTATATTCATTCGATTTTTACTAGCCTGACTTTATTTTCATCGGTTTCGTTTTCTGAGGAGAACTAAGTCCACCAGGATATAATCGGAGCTCAAACTAACGCTGTTTTTTCTTTTACCAATCGGATTATCAACACAGCATGAGCATAGAAGAACTTAGAAAAAACTCCGGAGGTTCCTTACTTGCAACTGTTCAATCCCATGGAACAACATGGCAAGCAGCAAGTTGGTAACAAACTTGCACTGAAATTCGGTGGGCACTTCAATGTCGCTCGATGTTCACATGAGTTTCTACGTGTCTGAAAACGTTACTGGAATGACAGACAGACACAACCGTCCACAGTGAATCGAGTATTGATTCACTGCATTATGCACGAAAAACCCAGCTCTCCGGAGGTTTAATTCATTAGACGACCACGCTCGAATTTGCTACATGGGTAGAATACGTTAAAACTAACGCGAACGGTAGAAAATGTTATCTAAGCTCGTCTTGCGGGGATATTTGAAGCTTGCTCATCGGTAAACTTCCTCAGAACATCATTGGTACCGAGGGCAAGGAATCGCCGCAGGACTTATATCGAGAAACTCGTCCAAGTGAATGTTGTGTGGGATGTGGGCAATAGTTTTCATGCGACAAAATCTCGTGTAACATCAGTAATAGGGAAAGTAGCCATGTAATACAAAGGAAATCATGAAGGGGGAACGGGGGAAACACTCTGACAGAAAACGCATTGGAATCGATGCGCACGATCTCATTCGTGTTAACTACATCCATGAAGTTCGAAGAAATACAATAGGAAAAATGATCGGTGACCTTTTCATTGTCATACGTCTGATTTATTTGTTTTTTACTGAATTGAGCAATGGTGTGGATCCCGTTGCTGTTGAGCTTACATCGTGCACTTATAATCAGCTTTCATTGGAGCGAAAATAAACAGCATGATAAGGAGTCTGGAAGAAATATGAAGGTTCGAGATCCCTTCGTTTGAGCCAAAAGAAAGAGCTTTTGGAAAACGAGGCGAATAAATAAAGGATAAAGCTCACGGCGTTGATCAGACCGTGAGGGATGCGTCATGCATTCGACTTCACTAAGCATCGTTGGTGGTGATTCAATGCATATCTGGATACCTTTACAATGATGAATCACGGTGGCCTGCTAATGTATCGAGTCAGTGCTACTACCCTTCCAGACGAGTCTGGTACCAGTTTGCTGAGCTTGAACGGATGGAGGGTTTGGTGGGCCTGGAACACCGGAATCGAAACCATGTGTATTGCATGGCGCTCTGGATCACTGCGCTACACGTACTACACGTACCGAGCGAAAAACAAGGCGAACAGAAGTAGTAAAACTGCAAAGAAAGTTATATTTCTCTTTTTTTGGTGAACATAGAGTAGTCTCGCTAACGGTGAAAGTTTGTAAGCTTCCAGATCAGTCCCACTAGTGTTTCAAGATTGTTTTGAGTGGAAAATACCTTACCTCGTAGTGAGGGAAATGCTTGCTTCAAGAGAGTCTTCATTCACTTCTAAATATTGGCATTCATAATAAAGCCTAATTTCATGTAGAGGCCTCGTTCATTTGTAATTTTCCGCCACAAAGTGCGCATTGAGTTCAATGCGTGCAGCCTCCTATATCCATTTTTATTCTTTTTGCGAGGTAATGAGGTCCTTTTATATGTTTCACTCATTTCTTTGTTTTCAACTATGTTGATTTCGTAAGTTCCTCTATTACCTTTTCATCTTTCTACAATATTTCTAATTCTTTTGATGAAAAAAGTCTCCTGGTCCCAATTTCAACTTGTTATTTACTGCCTTTTTCTTTTTAATGGCAGGGTATGTTGTGAAATATAACTCGTATGTAATGCTGAGATATTTGCAAAACTCCGGGCCGCAGGTGTATGCGGTGGGGAACGAACACGCGCTGTTGTCCTTATCGGGGAGCAGCGCACTTCACCACCACACCATCCGGGTCCTTCGCTTTGCCTGCTTTTGCCATCAGCAATCCTCATTCCCCTGACCTCGAAGGAGCCCCCAATTTTGCAGTGTTGGGTAGGACGAGTACGGAGAGGCTGCTAAAATCTCAGGGCCAGTGGAAGCTGCCTGGATTTCAAAAAACTATGGTGACGA